CTTAGACTTTTATTTTTATTCTTGCGTCAAATTATAATGTGTGTATTATTGCCATAGCATCTTAAATTCAAGTGTATTATATTTAAGATGTGTTTTAGCTAAACAGTCTCCAAAGTATTCTTGGTTCTTTCGGTAAAGTCGAAAGTCTCCAAAGTATTTTAACGAAATCATACATTACATGCCTTATGAAAGTGTTGTTGGTTTGCCTGACTCCCAAACATCTGTTGATGATAACACGTATTTTCTCTTACATCAGCCTTTTAAAACAAAATTCCCATGTTTTCATTGTCCCATGTACATTGGACGCCATAACTTTGGGCAATTTAAAGAAAATAAAACCTAAAAAAGCGTCAGTTGGCTCTAAAATCTGATTCACGTATTCGTGATACGTGAAGTGATCTTGAAAAAAATATTTAGCCACAAATATAATAAGACAGTGCACGCTAGCTTTATTGAAACACTTGACAATTCGCTTTGAATGCATATTTTATTACGTCATCGCGACAAATACGTTGGCAAAATTCACTTATTTAATTATATTAATTTGCTTAAATCCCCCTGCTCTCATAAAATCCCGTATTATATGTGTAGTGACATCGCGGGATGTCACTGTGTGATGCCAGCCCTAGAGAGGCACGGCGTGCGATGTAGCGACATCGCGGGCACCACTTGGATGTGGGTGCAGTACCGGCCCTAGAGGGGCTCGGTGAGCGCTGATCGATAGCGCTGGATGGCATCACGCTCTGCGTGCAGTGCCGGCCCCTACAGGATAGGGTGCGGGAGTTCCGGCAATGGAAATGGGGTTACTAAGGGCCGTGGCACTCTGGTTGACCCCAGAGGACACGTGACCGGTTAAGTCTACACAGGGCCCCCAAGTGGTGGCTCGGGGTGATCACGTGTCAGGGTCTAGATCCTGCTCGAGGATTCTGGAAGGTTGTCGTGGCTAAGGTCGGAGCCAGCCACGCCACAGAGGATATAAGCCGGGTCCCCCAGAGGGACTAGCTGCTGTTGTTCATCATGAAGAAATCTACGTTCTACGTCCTACAGAGTCTCCAACACGTGGACCTGGACCCAAGCTGTGGTCCTGGTCCGTTGTAGCTAGTTACGGTGTAATTAGTGTAGTTAGCCTGGTGGTCACCACCATAGGTTGTTATTCTGTTAAGGGGCAGTTACCCCGTGTCTTGGTGTTAATAAATGTGTTGCCTCCAAAGAGTACGTCTGTGACTCAGTTGAACTCACTACATCAGCATCATGAGCATTTGTGTTGTTATCACGGTTTATCAAGCTACCCCTTCGTTTAAGCTTTTAATACGACTGGCGTATGAAACTTGATAATAACCATGCAAAAATAGGTCCCGTTTTGTGTTATTTTATTGAATCCAACAAGACAGACCAAAAAAGCACCCACCAAAGATGTACATATGCAATTCCTGTGTTTAGTTTGTCGTCCTTTTACCGCGCCTCCGATTAGCACGGCTGGCTACGTACGGTGCGAAAGAAGTTAAACGTACAACACATACATACAAGGTGATACGATGATATTAACTGCGCCTGCAGGTGGCGTGCATGAACCGCATTCTCGCCTGAACGAACTGCAATTGACCACCCCGTCCTACCACCTGCATATCCGCCCAGCTTTTTGTAAATAGTAAATCGTGTGCCTTTGTAAGGTGAAACTCCACCACAATCTTCAGTGTGACATAACTTGCATAGAATATCAGTGCACACGATGAATACGTATCCAATGGAGTTTCACTTTCGTTAACGTATAACGTTGACAACTTACTAACGATAGTAATCATAATGAATGCATTAACCATAATTCAATCTACATAAGTCACCAAACATTCATTCGTATTAAAATAATAGTGTATATATTACAGTTGTAACTATTCCATTCTTACGTATGGCATGATGTTCAGGCGCTAATGCCAATATCCTAGGTCTGCTAGACATGAGGGGGCTTCAGAATAGAGTCCCTCTGTGGTGTGTTGTGGTCCATAGTTTGGGGTGCATGGCCACAATCGGACCGTGGCTTGACCTTATGCTGTTTTATCCCCAACCGAAAACACGATTTGAACAATAAAAATGGCCGAGATATTTCTATAGACGACCACAACTTTAAATTTGTGAGCATGAGATGAGCGAAATTTCACCGCATTTCTTGCGACCCCATCCTCCGATTAAATGTTCCCATTTTGGGGTAGCGACCTCCTGTTTGGCAATGCTGCTCTATGGACTTGCACCCTGCCAACCACTCCTGCCTTGTCTCACTCTACTCCTGTCCGTGCACTCTCTGTTCCAGCAACCAATGCTTTCTCTCAAAGCACCGAGTAAACATTCTTCGCACAATGGGAGTTGACTCATTCTCCGTCTACCCTCCGTCTGGAACTCTCTTCCCCCGGCCGTCCGTGCTGTCGATTCCCTGCCACCGTTTTGGCCTATGACTGACAACACACATATGCCCACTGTCTCTGTACAGCAGCTCAAGATTCTGTTACATTTACATTCGTTGTGAACAAGACCAAGTGACTTGGCATTGGAGAGCAAAGTGTTTCTAAACTCGGCTAGATTACATAGATTGTAATGTTAAATCGAAGTATTTGGGTTCATTTGTATATTGGATTTATATGTAGTTCATGAATTGTCGATGAAGTAGAACACATTTGCGTGGAGGAGGTAATTGGTTATTTGTTTTTTTATGGAGTCGCTTGAAAGAGTTTATTTGTTAGTCACGAGAAAACGTATACAGAAATTAAAATATATAGGGCACACCGGATTCTCAGAAGCACATTTACCATACCTCAGCTCTTTGTATTTGAGGTGGGAATGTTTTCTTCCACATATAACATTTAGCTACGGGTGTTATCTGTTTCCCTACAAGGTTTGTGTTGTTCTCGTTGAATGCTGTAATCAAAATAGTTTAGAAGAATAGGGAAAAAACTGCAGTTTATATGCTACTCAACAATTTTGTTTACAAATTTAATAACGGGTATAGCTTTTCTCCTAAATTCCTTAACGCATTGGAATAGTTGTTTTTGTCCATGTAAAAATGACAAAATGCAGCTGTTGTTACATTGTACATTGGTAAACAGAGCACACGTGCACATTCTTACGTACTTTTGCTTTACTTCTGTCTTCCATTATCAACACCACCAGTCATGATGCACTTCCTGTTTGTTCTCCTCCCTGTGTTTACAACCCTTCTTCCATCCATACATCACTCGAGGCCCTCTCTAATTGATTCGTTTTTTTGCGATTAAATACATGAAAGCTTGCGTCTCAGTCTCCCTCTCCCTATGCACTGTACCGTTTATCATTCTTTCACTGAACCTATGCACGGTACCCTTTATCATTATCTAAATCAACCAGTGGTGGATGCAGGGGAGGGGGGCATGGGGGTGGTAATAGCCTGCACCTTGAAGCCCCTTCAATTTGTATTTTATTGTCTTTATATTCACCATTATAAATATATTCGTTATGTTTGAATTAGTATTAAATAAAACTTTGTTTTTTATTTACCAAGTAAGACCCACTGAGATATATAGCTATTTTTTCAAGAGACGTGGCCACAAATGATAGCCCAACGAAATGAATAATCACGTGGAAACGTATAGCAGCCGAATACTCTAAACCCACGTTGATTCTCAATGTGGAGGGAAAACCCGGACGACCCGGAGAAAAATTCACGTGACCACAAGGAGAGAGACATGCAAACTCAAACTTCCTGTGTACCAGGCGAGGTACTGTAGTTAACATCTCCCCACCGTGGCAATTTCATGACTGCCCTCCCCCTCACCTCCCCTTGGGAAGTTTCTAGTAGTTCCACCTCTGTAACCAAGTCAATTAGCACGGTTGTAAACGTACGGTGTGGAAAAAGTTCAACGAACGGTATATACCTACAACATACATCATTGTCCCTGTCCTCTCTAACATGTTCGTTCTACCCCCCCGCCCCCCACCACATAACGACGTAGTCCTATTGTTCGCAATTTTCTCTACCAACATTCCATCATCTGATTTCATCATCATTTTTTCATCCCTTTCTCAACGTCACTCCTCTACACTCTTTAGAATTAGCATTTTACCATATGCTATATACACGCGATTTTGTGTCATTACTGGGAGGAAACCACGTGTGCACATGCATAGTTATGCTAGGTCAGCACAAGTGTACAAATATCCGATGAGGTTCAATCTCCTGTCAGCAATTGTTTTTGAACCTAACAATTAATTTAGAGTGCGCACAATAAAGTGGCTCTTTGTCAGATGTGGAATGTACCTCTATGAAAACACTTGCACAGCTCCCAGGTATTTGTTATGTTTGGATGTCAGCGAAAAGGCCAAATTAAATTTGTACTGCAGGGGATTTTTTTTATATATATTTGCACGCCTTCTGTATGAGTTATTGGTACACATACATACGTGGGAGCTGGACAAATATTGTTCAGTGTGTGGGATGAGTGGTCAGTCTAATCACATTGGTGAAGTTTAATGGTGTTTTACCCAGGAGGTCGCCTTCTTAAACAAGTGCACACTCACTCGCTGCACGGCGCATCGTGCGCTCGGCTCATAGTTTGTCATGCGGCAAACACAAGTATACTGCATACGTTGTTGATTCATTTACCGGAATAAGTCATATGTCAGTGAAATTATGCTCCATCCACTGTAGTCACCGATTGACAAATTATAAGTGAATATAATCTGTAAAACCTAGATTTAAAGCGGCTTAAAAGTTACGTTTCATAAATGTTTATCAGGAGGTTTTCTTCAATTTGAGATCCTTCAGCTGCAGCATTAGAAGTGTACTAATACTGTGTCGATGACATCGTGTGTGTGCGGCGCTGTCATTGCACATAGGCGACCCTTGTGCGGTGATTGTCCCCACGTGTTGCACATTTCTGCAGCGTGCAGCCGTTGTTGTCACTCATCCAACACACTGTGCAGGCCGTGATAACAAAAAACGATTTCCTGCCCATGTTTCCTGTTTCGCGCCTGTACCAAAGCAACATTCATGATGCGTGTGCGTGCATACGAGACTGTTTTTTTCTACAGGAAGAACCTGAGCTTCGAACAAAAGTCATTGCGAGTATCTTTTAAGCCATTATTTTCAAAGGTCCTGACACAGGCTGAGGTCACGCGTTGACTGCCATAGGAATACGTTCGAACTAAAACTGATCAAGGACGCACAGCTGAGCACAAACCATACATTTCTTTTCAACTCAACGTGTTGTCATCTGTTTGTCAACTGGAAAGTCACTCAACAGAATCCCACAAGGTAGGAGAAAGCAATTTTATTGACCTTTCTTTTTACATTTTAAATCTGATTTCCCTCGTTATTTCAGATACTGTTAAAAAAATATTAGATTAGCTACTTTCAACCGTAGTATTAACGTATATATTATTTTCAACACTTCCTCCTAAAGCTAAGCTTTGCATCGTCTTGTTTTCAAGCAATATAACTGTCATGGAATATATAGAGTACTTTATTTGGATACAAACAAAAGCGTATTTTTTAGGCATTAATGCTATTCTTGTAAATGGTTATATTTTCAGGAGCTAAATGCCAATGTCGAGGTTTGTTAGCCACGAGAGGGCTTAGGGAGAGAGTTAATGTCGTAATTTTTAACGGAACAAAACGTAGCTTTAAAACTTAAGCGTATATTATGTTGTAAATTTGTATATGATTCATATAGCATTGTTGAAAGCAGTGGACTGTATTGGAAAGGTATCTAAATCAATTAATTATAATGCACAGACAAAAGTTTAATCATTTTTAAACAGGAATAAAACGTCGAACTAGATTTACTGTATTATTGGACATGCATTATAATTTATTTTTAAATGAATTTTATAAATCACGAAAATGTTGGTAAGGATATTTAGCATTATATTTACGTATGTTACTGAGTAGAATCAATGGCGGAGCCAGGATTTTCAGGTAGGGGGGCAATCCCTCCAGCAATGAAACATGCTAGAGGAGTTGCTAGTAAGTCAGGACTTGTCCCTTGCTTTTTATTCGACGCGTGTGCGGCGATGGCGCAGCCATCGATCGAGGGTCGAATTCGAACCGCGTTGTGTGATCGGCATCGCGCTCGCCGAAGATGTTTGCCTTCAGGGAAGTCGTGTTCTGTATACGCAACTGCGCACAATTCTGAGTCACTTATAACTGCTTTGCCGTTACTTATTGCCAATTATGGACTCAGACTATTGTCCTATCATCTTATAGAGTCCTTGGCACATAATAATATGCTACATAGTGACAGTGGGGGTCCCAAAATGCCGATTCATTACTAATAAGCCCCAATGATCCGATCGAAATCACGTGGCTCTGCCAGTGGGTAGAATCAATCTACGAGAAAATTTAGTATATTTCTTAAAATAATTAACATATTTCACAATTGAGTGATATTTTAATTTATTTGTAATTTAGTTGATAAGTAAACTACTAAAATGAGCTACTGTATATCATTATTTGTATAATATGCAAACAAAACAGTGAAATTATATCAAAGGTTCTTCTTAAATCATGGCCAGATATGGGAATATAACAACACTTGTTTTAGCTTTGCGTTTAGTATTTCATAATACTGTAGTGTATTTCATCTTTAAATGCAGTGCTAGTCTACAACACATTTAATTTAAATTTGCTTCAAATTATAGTTCCTTCAGATACACAGTATTAGGTAAAGGTGAAATTTAAAGATACATGTAGCTTAAATATGAAGATTAAAGAAACAACAAAATGTGACTATCCTCATTTATTTATCACACTGAGCATATACAGCACAGGATATTTTATAATAATAGCTGCATCAGTATATATACTCATGCATGACTAGCTCATGGTCTATTTTAATAAAGCCAAATTAAAATTATTCACAATTCCTGTTATATGGAGATGCACCTCCGATTAGCACGGTTGGCTACGTGCGGTGCGAAGTAAGTTCAACGTACATACATGGTGCGTTGGCAGTGGTTTACAACCACAGTTAACAAGAAAAACTCAACACATTTTTCAACAAGACTACCTTAATAAAATAGGAAAATAGTATAAGAGATCACGTTTCAGACATTCGTCATTCTTCATAGCGCTTAAGTACCTACAATTCCAGCGCGAGTGGGCTGGAGCCTCGATACAGTTTCCCTTCTCAACAGTAGTTATGACTACAGCTGGCATGACCATTCATTCCACCAACAGATGCCAAGAGTCGCTTATGGTAACAATACACAGCTACTGGGAGCTCATCTCGGCTCATTCACAGTGGAGGTCATTTAGGGTTTCTCCTGTTTTTCCCATTCGTGCCATAAAATATTCACCCAAAAGCCCGTCTGATTATTTTATTTTTATCCTATAAAAATGCAAACAATAATTATATAATAAAAAAAAAATCTAAAGCACCGGGACAGCATTTTATTACAGAGTCAAAGCAACAAGACCGAGATAAATGTTGCATTACTTCTGGTTTCACAATTGGTGTGTCCTCATCGCACAACTGGAGCCATCGTATCATATTATGCCACTGGCGCACGACAAAGCACTGTTCGGGAATTTCCCGTTTTTAACCCCGAATAGTCCAACTCATGCCGCTTAATTCCGGCACTAAGTGATACATTGCATTTCTGATACCATTCAATTATGACACCATTGTTGGTAACGAATCATCCTCTGAAATGGAGGTGGTGTTGTAACATAATAGAACTTTGATCGTTGAAGAGTTTTAGTGGAACGGGTGATGGATAAAGAGTTAATAGAAATGACTTGCTCAAATCTAAAATGTGTTTTTTCCCTCTAAGGTATAGAGGCAACATTCAAACATGAGCTAGTTGTATGTGAGAACTATTCATACAATAACCATTACAGCCTACACTTTGTTCTCATACAAGGAAATATAAAAAAATATATACTACCATGGTGAAAATGTCATGAATGTGGATACCTTTCATGTAATTTTATTCATACAAAGCACAAGCAATAGAAATGGTGGTAGCTGTGGCGCAGTGGTCAGCATGATCTTCTCCGAACCCAGTAACCTGGGTTTGATTCCTGGTCACGGTGAACCACAGTGGTGAGTGATATCACAGCTGGTCCTGAGTCCCTCCACTTCAAAAAGCTGCACTGACCAGCATGGCAACTTATGGTCAAAAAGCCTCCTGATTAACACGACTTTAATCTAATAGTATTGGGTTGTCCAGATGTCTTGTGGCCCCCAATTAATTTATCCCTAACATATTTACATTGCATATTAATTTCTGTTTTAAATAAACATTTCTTGATTGTTTCAGATGACTGATACGATGATATTTAATAAAATGATTGTGTAATTTTTATGTTGCTTACATTATATTAAACACTTATTGGTATATAACAATACAAAGTATATTCTTGGTTCTTTCGGTAAAGTCATGTAGAAGGGAAATAATAAAATAATAAAAATGTAACAATAAAATGTATTGCTGTGGTTTTCACACCTGATGATGATTGCTTGTGTTGCAATCGAAACGTCGTAAGAATTTTATTGTTGAATTTTTATTATTTTATTATTTTCCTTCTATGTGACTTTACCGAAAGAACCAAGAATATGAATCCCTGCAGTCACGAAAGCTTTAAATCGAAATAAAACAATATAAAGTTTGAGAGAAATAAATGGGGGTCACAATACATCTGGACCATGTTGTAAATTAACACAAGATATGTAAATAATTATGTTTACTATATTATAAAATAGTAACAACATACTGATAATAAGAATAAATATCAGTCCATTGTCAATTCACTGCTGATAAATCCATCAACGTGTCGTGTTAGTTACAGAGGTCGTGTAACTACACTTCACCACACTGGTGAGTGGCGCAGATATGTAAAGCCGAGCTCCAGGAGCAGTTTAGATATTAGTTGCTGCTGATGGTAGCCGTGCTGTGGAATCCACCACTCTACCAATAATAAAATACAGCAATGCCAATTGTTTACCCAATAAAGGATTAATGAGTCTCAAGGCTAAAGAGGGTCCTGCATTGAAATTGTTTGCCAATACCATGAATGAGTGGCATGTGGGAGGCAAATGGAGTACCTGGAGAAACCCCACACGTAAAATGGGTTGACACTCAGAGCTGCGATTTCCTGGCAACACCCCTACCACACCAGGCAAGCCCTGGTGGCCACCGATATAAAAGCTAACCAAGACAGGGTTAACCCTCCTTAGCTTCTGACATCGAACAAGATCGGGTGGATTTGTAGATAATTTCTCATACATATTCTAAATATTTTCTCCGTAAAATATCGTCGTTGAAAGACCAAATCCTCTTCATGTAGCATTTAATGAAAGCATTTAGAATTTGTTGTGGTATGTCTCAGAGAATGCGTAGAATACCATGAGTATGAATTGAATACAATACGGCATCTTATAAATATTTCAATTGACCACGTGCTGTACATTCCAGAACAATCGTTCCCTTTTATGAATAACTGCAATGCATATCTGCTACCCGTTAACTTTGTGTATGCTTCGATATGTACACAGCTGTTGCTTGCTACAGCAAATAGTGACAGCCAAACATTTTCTGTTGGGAACATTTGCGAACCCACAAAGGGCAGATTGTTGCTAGGGATATGAAATGCTACTCTAACATGCAATGTTATTCTCACGCTACAATTAGGGTGTGGTATGTTTTTATAATATATTTTATAAATACAGTACAGTAATGCATGTGTTTGTAATGAAAATATGAATAGTTTAATGAATGTACAAATATTACAATTTGACCACAATCTCACGAGACTGGCTACTAGATCTTAGCTCTTCAAATTATATATTGCTTGGAAAGAATTGGCTGTGCCCACATTTATCTTGAGTTAATTGATATGTTCCATATAATTTATCATAATTGTGGGTTGCAGCTTCAATTGTATTTATTGATATAAGATATTTATTTTACTGTGCAAAAAACTAAAAGAGCATCTGCTCTCTGTGTTATCTTTCAACCCAGACACTCAGGTGCTGCCAATATTTTACGTTAAAACTCAACAGGATCCAGTACCCACAATCCATTTGTATTCCTGTGAGTGCACTCAGTATCATTCTCTTCATGGTGAAATCTGTGTTGGTGCAGGTCTAAATGTAAAGGAGCACAGTCTATATGTGTAATAAGACAGAAGTACTTTTAACCATTTATTAGTTTATTGCAGGATGAGGAACTCCCAATTTCCATGTCAGTATGGGAGAGTGTTTGACCATACTTCACCATCTTGTTCAGTGTGGGTTTTTGAAGGGGGTACCCAGGACTGATTAAGGTTTCACTCACCACTAATGTTAGCTGTGGCCGGGAACCAAACTCAAGTGAGCAGGTTCATAGCACAGCGTACTAACCACCGCATCACTAATCTACCCCCATTTTTCTAATCTTATAAATGGAGGCGATCGCCAGGTGGCTCCTCGGACGTCAGGGGACTGAGCTGGCACCGTTGAGATGCTGGGTTTGAGTCCAGGCAGCCTTCCACGATTAAAGTGGGTTCTGAAGGTTGATGGTTTGTTTTAGTGTATTCACCAGTGGCGGCTGGTGATATTTATTTTTGGGGGGCGCATTTTTTTTATTTTATTGAGGGGGGCAAATAAATATAAAGCAGTACCAAAAACCATTTTCACTACTTGAATATAAATTTTGATGATCTTTATTTACATTTCAGACCAAAAGAAGTACCAAAAAGCATGTTTCCTACTTGAACATAAATGTTTCTCTTTTATATACATTTCAGACCAAAGTACCAAAAAGCATGTTTCCTACTTGAACATAAATGTTTCTCTTTTATATACATTTCAGACCAAAGTACCAAAAAGCATGTTTCCTACTTGAACATAAAAACGTTAGTTTCATGCTATTATCAATATGGCTGCGGCTACTTTCATGACGTTTGCATTTGTCAGAGAGATGTTTGAGGTCTCTTACCCCCGTCGTTGTCCACAAAACTTCAGTGCCGACACTTTGAAATAAAAGACAGGGAAAACAAAAAAGAAAATTGCTAACATCACATCCAGCCAGCCACCTCCGTTTCTCATAACAAGCGCGGGTGAAGCTTCGTGTGTAGCTTCGTCCTCTGTCACTGGCCTGCTGCTGGATTTGTAAATCGGGTTGGTCCGGTCCGAGATCCTTTATCTTTTTTATTTCTTCCAGCGAAAGTCTTGTGAAAGGGTTTTTTTGTAAATAAATTACAGAATTTGGATGAACTGCTGCCATTGTTTACACAAAAATTTGATCAGCCTAGCAAGTGTCAAAGTGGTGTCGCCTGCGCACTCGCAGTAGTGGCCCAGAGCGTAAATTTGAATGACAGGTGACGAGAACCAATCAGATTGGATAAAATAACATGTATCCAATTCTGATTGGCCAGGGACGCAACGACTTTCGCCCCGAGGAGAATCTTAAAGAAACCAATTAGAGACCAGCTTCAGGTCACATGCTGTCCGAAAATTTAAAGTCTCACATAGACATCCATTTGTCCGGCGCCCCGCATGAAACACATTGAAAAACATAGAAAATAGTTGACCGATTAAAGCCAGTTTTTATTAAATGCTGATGCTTTTCTTACTACCAGCCGGCACATCGTATGAAAAAAATATTTTATTTATGTATTTTTATATAAATTTTGTATATGTATATTTCTTGAATATTGATGGGGGCGGCGCCCCTGCGCCCTCTATTGACGAGCCCCCACTGGTATTCACCAATAGCTGCATAAAAATACATCACACTCTGTTAAATGTGCCTTTTGCAACCGAGTTTGCTATATTCCAGCTATGTGACGTTTCATACAATTTGCACTCTATGGGTTTTTTGCTGGCATGTGACAATCTCACATTAGAGCTTGTGTGAGAATGTACCTCTTAATGTGAAGGTTAATTAGGCCACTTGAATGATCACTTGGGAGGAGTCCTGTGGAACAAAAAAAGTATCTATTTTGCAGGCTGGTACATTGAGCGCACTGCTCTGAGATTTCCATGTGGATTCTTCATCAAATAACACAATTGGAATGTATTTTTTGGAAAATAACAATTAAAAAAAAACGTCAAGTGATAACATCAGGCTCAATGTGTCTGCTTGTATTGGGGAATTTACTTCTGTTGCCACACACCCGTGTGTGTGTGTGTTTATGCTCATCTCCAGCACCCCTCTGATTCGCATGAACACCACAAGTGCTCTACATGTAGTACGTCTGGAGTCTAACATAGTATTGACTAGGCATGTAACAAGTCATCCTTCACGACTCCCTGTCCCCCTCCTCCCCCCATCAGAGATTAAATTCATGAATTTTCAGAGTTTGATTCAAGATTTAGCTTTAGGTGTGTGTGTGTTTTTACGATATTTTCCGTATTTGTTTTGTGGATTGTTAAATAGTTTTGTTCTGTCTCGTTAATTGCCAAACCCTAAATGTATTCAAGACAATTATGAATAATACAAATTGACCCCATGATTTTATGTATAATTTTATGCCGTTCACCGGATAACGTTTGAACTGATTATACCAGGGTTTCCAATCAAAGTGAAAATATTTGAACACAGCTGGCTAATATGAGCGGAGGCTTGGGGCAGCTTGGTGTGGGGAACTGCCGTCGTTGTCACCTGGGATCGGGCCGTCTCCATCGTCTGCAAATTGTCTGGAGCTTGGAAGCTAGATTGTCTCCGAGTAGGGTTGTATTTCATCACTCGATTGTATGGAGTCACTCGTGTTACGTGTTGAGTTGTTATTGGACTTTATTCTTAATAAATAGACGGAAGACAAGACGGCGTCTCTGAGAGCTACATTACACATGGATGCATTTTCGATGATACAATATAGTTATGACGCATTAGTGTAATTTTGAAATGCATATACTGAGCATGATATGTGAATTACACAATGTAATTACTGCATAGATACCTTGTAGTATTGTAAAATATATTTACAGAATCGTGTCAGCCATGAGCTTCATTATTAATTACATTAATTATTTACAATACCATATTACTTCTTTTTCATACACTATACTCTACGTAAAAATGACCACACTGTATAGATGCAAATTTCGTACATTTAAAAATGTAGGTCATATGGGCTTACAAAAGGTTGCTCATGAAAAATAAAACGAGAACTCATTGCATTGGTTTAAAATCCCCTGGGTATTGTGAGTCTATATATACGTATCCTCATGTTCCTGTTTTTGAGAAGCCAACAGTCACAGCCTCCCTGCCCCCACACTCATAACCTCGCCCTTTGCATGGCTTCTGTGTTCTTTGTGTGACAGGAAACCTCTATGCACTAGACCGGCCAAGCTCGATTTTCACATTTTCAAAGGGGGATGCGTGAGGTTTGCTACCATTGCCAAAAGCCTGGTGTATTTGACGTGGGTAATAAGCATTCAGATTCCAATGCTGAGTTTTGTGAGGAGCGCAAACATAAATGATGACGTTGAATGTCGAATGCTTGTGTCCACGTGATAAGGTGCTATTGCACTGCAGAATAGGCATTATGAACATTCGCATTGCAAAAGGTGTTTGCATACTTCACATACATGAACTCAACTTGAAAGGAACATAGATGTTTGTCAACGTTTCAAAGCATTGCCCTGTCACTGCCACCTTGCTATACCGTACAGTATATGGGTTTGAAATGTTATTTACACGCGGTATTTCTTGAAAATTGCAATACAATAAAATAAATCCAAGTAAAAATGTTGTGAGCGTTTGTGACGAAAAATGTATGTTTAAGTTCATTTGATTTTGTTTAACCAGGTGAGAACTCAACAGACAAGGATAGCCTCCTTTTCAAGAGTGGCCTGGGTAACCAAAATTACCAAAACAATAACATAAACACGAGCACAACAATGAACCAAATAATAATAATCAGAGCAGAGACAGAGCAAAGACAACTGCGTTATGGAAGAAATAATCAGAATAATAATCTTTCTTTATCCTGGAGAAACTCGATGAGCTATGAAGATGTTTTCGCAGGTGTCCAGTAATCACAGATGTCCAGTAGAACAAACAAAAAACAGGGCTAACAAAAAAATATATATTAGATTATGTAAATTTACTGTCGCGAAGGTTGGCTCAGACAAATAATTTTTAACAACCATTCCATAGTAAAAATGCAGCTAGAAAAAGACAAGTTGCATACATTTGCATAAATCGTAAGTCATATGTGCCCTGACCAAGTACGTTTTGTTTTTCTCAACAGATTAATACAGAGATGGATGAATCCGAAAATGAAATTTTGGAGGCGTGTGAAGAAGGCGCCAATGAATTTGATCAAATGTTTGGTGATTTTCTTGGAGAGCTTGAAGAGCTCACTAAAGTAAGACCGTTTGTAAATTCACAGCATATATCAATTGTACGTAATTATTGTCCCTTTGTCCCGTTGGTTATTTGTGGTGTTAACTCAAACATTAGAAATAAGCCAGTTGCACATTGGAAGGCTTTATTGTCACGTCAGTCTGGAAAACGGCTGCCCAGTGGCCATATTTAAAATAATTCCTTCTATGATTGCTCTAGAAGTCATATACTGTCCGTGAACTCAATATATTATATATGAAGATAGCATATATGCTATCAATGCACATAGCAAAACATCTTAGAACTACAGTGCGGAACAGAAATACTCAGGACTGTAGTAATGCTGGTGTGTTTTTTTTCGTGCCAAATTAATACAGCATATTACAGTGGGGGGCACGATACACAACTGCAGAATAGATTTCTGTATTTTTAAAATGACCAAGGTAATCTTAACATGTTCATTGCTTTCTCCACAGGACATTGACAGAGGAATTGCATCTGACACAACCATTAGCCAGCCTGCTGCCAAGCTCAATGAGTGGCCCACCATTAACTTAGATGGTATGATTTACACCAGATACATATTCAATGTCGATATAAACATTTGTTAACCAGATCTATGCATTAATCATCAAATATTGTTTTAATATATATAAACGAATAAGCATCATTACTGCAAAAGAGTTTACACTATGGGGACCTCATTTGCCAGTAAAAATATGCGCCTTTTGGCGTCATCTGGTCCAACCCATATGAGACTAGGCTCGAAGGAAAGCTGTCTCGGGTGTGGACCAATCAACTTCAGGGACAGTGCACATTATCAGAGTTATGTTCTTTTGTTTGTATTATGACTGCAGGTATTGCGGTCTATGCAAACATGACTCCTTGCAAAAAGGTGTCAGTTTTGTTGCCAGATAGAAGGGTAAAGAACCAATTATGCAAAAGAGTTATTTTTCTATTTACTTTTTGTTTACATCTTCCTTCCAATACAGGATAGATACCTTTTTCAGTACTGTGCATTAACTATACAAAGGGTGGAAAACAGCACAATGTTTGTGTTCACACGCTTGTTAAAAAAACGTTAAATTACAATGGCAGTTATGGTATAGATCACACATGTCAGCACATTATTATCTTGGTATACTAGGGAGTACTACAAAAGTGACAAAGTGCAGTAAGGCAATAGATAAATTACAGCAGTTGAAAACATAGTAGCTCAGAAAATGCTTATCGCTTTCTAAATTAATATTGATGTCGGATGTCGCACAACTCTGATTTATATTGTTGCAAATGCTTTAATATTTCCTGAAGTATATCTTTATCATATATATAAAAGGGAAATGTGTGAATATGTGAGTCTGTTCAAAATGTTTAGCATACTTCCCGACATGCAACAAATTTGAAATTGGGCATGTGGGTAGCTTCCAGACTGTACACAATGCAAAAAGTATAAAAATAGACTTTTGAATTTTGGGGGGCAGGGGGGGCGCAATAATGGATATATTTTGCACGCAAGTGAGCGGTGATGTCACATCTCTGTCATGTCACCCGCATGCGGCAGCGTCACGCAGTGTGCCTGCCGACGTCACGCATCCCCCCCCAACCCTCGGCATAGGCCGTGTATCCCGCACAAATGTGCGGCATAGCTGTCTCGATTTTCTAAGTCAACGCGACTATTGTCAACTCGCTCTTAAATATAAAGCAGAAAATACATCTGTTTGTGTGAAGCAGCAAAAACTCTCGAATCCAGAGCTCTGACATCATGAAATTTGCACAGCTTACGCTGTCTGGAATTTCTAGGAAAACGCGACTATTTTCAGCTCGCACGTCATTTCTTCCCTTCCCGAGTTTCCGAAATCGACCTTACGTATAAGTGGGTTAAGGTTGAATTTCCTTGAGTGAAAAACATTCCAATTTAGTTAAATTGATTTGTTTCGGCTTTTTTCTTTCTTGCAAACATCAATGTTTTTCAGGGGTTTTCAGTGACATATAAGGGAATATGAAATTAATCCTAGACAAGAATCCAAGTCCCGGGCGAAGCCGGGTAGCAAAGCTAGTATTACATTAAAAAAAATTGGACCCAGTTTAAACATTGTTGAACATTGTCACCGTGATAACAGCATCTCAAACTCTGACACACAGACATGCTGAACGACAGCATGGGGCTGGACACCCTCATGGCAGACCTTTGCTCCATGGAGGAAGAGCTCAGTCAGATGACCATGGGAGATGTTCTGAGCCAAGAGCCTGCCGGCTGCCCAACTGTCACAGACCAGCCACCTGCACAGTCACCTTCGCATCTATACGCACAGCTAGTCGCAAAGTCACCCCCAAAGCAGGAGCAGAGGACTGCTGCACCCTTGAGCAAGGCCCTGACACCTGTGGCCCCTGGGTCAGGAAGTCCACAGCCCAGCCACGAGCTGCCTTCCTCCACGATTCCTGAACCTCCACCTTCCACCCCCAAGCCCGAAGATGAGAAGTCTTACCGAGGTACAGTGCTTGTAGAGGCAGTGTGTTTAAGCATTACATTTTGACGTTTGCCAGCCTACGCATAGCGTAATAACATATATTGCTTTATTTATTTAGTTTTCATCTTCTTGGTTCTTTCGGTAAAGTCACGTAGAAGGGAAATAATAAAATAATAAAAATAAAACATAATAAAATACAATTCTCACGACGTTTCGGCCACAACGCAAGCAGCCGTCCTCAGGTGAAGACGCTGTCTTTCCTTCTGAGCAGCATTTGATCTGGTCAGAAGGAATGGCCTTTCTTTAACACTAGAAAGGATTGACTGCCAAAGAACCCTAATCAGTCTGATTTTATCCAATCACAGGCCAGTATGACGGTGATCAATCTGTCAGTGTTGAAATCAGCAATGGAGTTGATCAAGGATATATATTGCACCAGCACTCTTTGTAATATTGTTCTCCTCGTTACTCAGCTTTACATTTCATCCAGAACTGAGGATGCATGTTTATTAAACTTCGTTCGCACTGCACGTAGCCAACCATGCAAATCGGAGGTGCGGGGGAAGGACAACAAATTAAACACAAAAAGCACTTCTAAAGAATAGATCTCCGTATAAGATCTTACGGGAAACTTTCAAAAATGTCTCATTCGTGCTGTAACTTCTTTATGTCGACGATGGCGTAGGAGAAAAAAATAAGGACAAAAAAAAGTCTCACAAACTTTGTGTGAAACAGCATGTAGTGTGGCAGGGGTTGCAGTTCAAGAAACGGTCTTTTCAGTCACTAACAACATTGCATGGGGACCTATAGTTGAAGAACTTCATCCGCGCTGATGTCTTACGAGATGGACAAATGTCATTGATTAACATGTTCCCTTTGTTTTGGTTTGAAGAAGAGACCGGGCTGTTGGCACATTTATGTTGATGAAAAGTGTGCGTGTGCATTCTAATGCACTTGCCCTGCTCTCATATGATTCCACATTCAGACATTGTGTAAGCAGGCTGCTAATGGGATTATGTTTTGCATTTTGATTTGCGTTAGTTGCAATTCCATCAAGTCTGCTTAATCTACAGTGCATTCTTTTTTTGGTAAAATTTAAATGAATTGTGTTAGGAAGTCCCTTCACGATTAAAATAAAAATTTTCCAGTGAAGGCATTCAGCCACAGATGCCACACGGCAGTGCTCCAGTGCAAAATAAGAGTAGCATATGCCCAACGTGCATCACAATTTTGTTTCGCATGACGACATGCAAGATTGTGGAATCAATATAAGTGACTATGATGGGTAGCGTACATTTCATATTTACAAATATTGGGGAACTGCTGTATCAGTATCCCAATTTTTTTTACGAGAAAATACGTTATGCAAATTTGTCTGTGAACTATTTTTGAGCGACTTTTAATCACATAATTTAGATATGTATTACATGTAAACCTATGAGGAATGTAATTATTTTAGAGTGATGAGTTGATGCATTCATTGTTCCCCGATGAAATGCGTACAGCGTTTAGCTGTTCAACTTGACGCTTGTAATACACTGCTGTAAAAAACTGCTTTCTCATGTGCGCTTTGTTGTAAAACGGCTTCCCACAAATGTTTGTGCAAGTGAAGTTAAGCTTCCTGGATAGCGAAACCTCGTTGCTGTTGCATCAGATGGCCGGAAAACCTGCCCAGCTACTCTCGGAGGTGACCTGAGTACAAGCCTGAGGAGCTTCTCTCCACTGATACCCATTCCAGAACCTTGCTTGTGATCCTCAAGTGCATGAAACTGCAATGCATGTCGACTTGTTAGATAGGTGCCCAATTTGCTTAACATTTCAAAGGTGCATTGTATTAATGTGTAAGTTGCTTTGTGACAAGTATAACATAGATTGTTTTGTTGTTCATCTGGTGATTAAGCAGAAAACTTATTTTGGTGATAATAAGTCCGTTCAACACCATCACTGCTCAAAAAAATGCTTCGTTCAAGACTTGTTCTAGCAGATAAAAATCCCTTAGCATAAGTATGTATTGTCAACCAAAAGTTATAAACATTCGTTGGCAAATATGCTAAGATCTCTAAAATGATGCTTACAGACACAGACTATACCTGCTTAAGGACACCAGTACTACTGGCATAATTAATGTGCATGCAGCAAATATTAACCCATTACTGACAGTCCTAACAAGAGATATTCATATCATCCAGCATGAAATACAGCCTGTTTCATACGGAGTCCTGCATGTACGATTTGCAAGAACACAATTTCAAGCTTAGAAAGCATGTTCCAAATACATAATTATCAAGATAGGGTTGAAGGTCTTGGCAACACATGCATGCAAGCTAATATTATTTTACACACGCATCAACCACTGTAGAATAACAATGATATGATACATACAGGAGAGCACCTTACTGAATAAATGTGCTGTATTAATACGCGCATGGTTGGGTGGGAGCAGTAGTGCAGTTATTAGCACAGTGTGCTATAAATTAGGTGACCCGGGTTCAATTGCCACACATGGCCAACATCACTGCCGAATATCTGAAGCAGTCCTGGGCCCCCTCTACTAGGTCGACTCAGCCTTAAATGAGTACCTTGTGTGTTATGTAAAAACATCAGCACTTGAGAGGCAAAGGCAGTCGGACATGGTCTTAACCATGATAGGTGCCCACTAATGGCACTTTCCCCAACAGGCTGTGTTGTCTATTCGGGGGATCTTTGTCTTTGTTGTTGGCAGGAGCACCGAATGAGGGAGTTGCATTTTGTGTGTTTGTAGGAGGAGAAGGCAGCAAGAATAAAAGCTGAAAAGATCCGTATTGCTTTACAGAAGATGAAGGAGGCACAAGTTCGGAAGGTGAGTTATACAGTGTTCTCTATTTAAGCCAATTAAACAACGAATCAATACAAGTTATTTATGGTGTAGCTTTAATGGAATAGTTACATTTTCACCAGTTTGAAAACAAACAATGCAAACGGTGTAATCAAAGTTCACAAAAAGAGTATCGATTCAACATTTGAAATAGAACTTTGGTTTAAAAAATCTGAAGTGGAAATTTAAGGTTACGAATAGTCCATGATAATAATTTACTCGAGTGCATATATTTTACGCTGTGAAGCCAGATCACCAAGTTTCCCTACATCTGGCACATGATATAGTGAATCATTAAACCGTTGGATGACATGGAAGCTTAAGTATAAAACATTTAGTCTTCAAAATTGCAAATTAATTTGAAAAAATGCCACGTAAAACGGATGAAAGTGCATTCCAAAATTATACAAATTTAGCGAATATATGTTAACACAAAACTGAAATTTGAAGGTCAATAAGAAACCCATTTTCGTAAAAAAATTGTAACATTTTAACAGCGCTGCATGCAAATGAAATGTGAGCCATGCGATCCGCGTGCGTTACTCATGCAAGTGCGGTGACACGTGTTCCTGCCTGCTGAGCAAAACAAACGCAATCCATTATCCATTTGTTTTATTAAGGCAAATCCCACCCCACACTGCAGCCTTTTACATAAAAAAAATATCATTGAATAAATATTGGTTGGGACCAATATTTTTTTTTCTTAATGCCACTTGCTCACGATATGTATTTTTTTATTCCTGGTATTCTCATGTCTGCCCATATGCTGCAATAGCCTTGCCGTACGTCTTGAGTAAATGTTTATTGAACAAATGTATTGAAGGGAAACGTCTTGTGTTCCACCTTGCCAGTTTACCTTATATTACTGCCAATCATTTCCCACGATTGTCCATGTAAAAGAGGGATAATGCCACGTGTGTAATGCATAGCACGCTGGACTTGCAATCCAGGAGTTATTGGTTTGATCTTATCTCCCGGCTTGGCAGTTGCAACAATGGGCAAGCTTCTTAATGTATTCCTTCTTCAGTTGTCCATGAATAATAAGCCTACTCATAACATATATAAAATCCACTTGATATAAATTTGTCTTTTCTAGGACTTGATGGATAGTGCGTATATGGTCGACCGTGGAAACGCCTTTCCTAAATTCAGCTTGTTCACGTGGTTGGTTGTGTGATAAGAGCTTGATGTGTTTGTTGTTTCTCAAGTCAGTTTTATCATCCTCGTTGAATATAAGAATGGTTGAGGCATCATTCCATGATTGTGGCATTAAATTCCTGTGTCACTATTTGGTAAATAGGTATTCTAATTTTGTATCAAAAGCTAATCCTGTTACTTTGATAATTATCACAGATATTACATTTGGTCCAGGAGATTCCCCTTGTTTCAAACTGTGAAAAGCAGTGGTTACTTCCTAAGGTGCAATATCTGGATTGTTATCCTCCGCATCTGAGCAATCAATGCTTACCTGTCGAATTAAAATTCTCTTTAGAGATCGGAATGAAATTTCTCCACGAGCTTACTAATTATGTGTATATCATGTGCTATGGTTCTATTTGGTCTCTTAGAGCTACAACTCTTCTATAGCATACGTGTGTTTTTTTCTTATATTGTGTGCTTTTATACACATCTAACTGTCTCACATGCTAGCGTTTTAACGTACATGTTGAAATTACTTGGATGCACCCGTGTATCCATGCATGTGTGTGTGTAGTTGGGGAGTTGTGGTCCAGTTAACCTGGCAACCTGGTTTTAATTCCAGGCCATGGATACCATCAGTGGCAAGTGCTATTTGGACCTCTCATGAGCTTTCCCCTAACTTGAGTACCAGGTTCAGAATGTAATAATCAATTAATGGTTCCCAGCCATGGGTAGTAATGGTTATACTATCCCTTCACGTGCCATGCTGGTTTCAATAGCACTTGCCCCAACAGTCGATAAAGATGATTAGGAGATCTTCATCCTTTTGTTGCAGCTGGTGATCCGAATTGGCCTTGTGGACAAGAGTTCCAAGAACCTGATGGTGGAAGAGCAGCAGTCAGTGCGCGAGGTGATGGACAACCTCCGCGAAAAGACACACAGCACCAACAGCCCAGACTGGTGCCTGGTGGAGACCAACCCTGATCTGGACATGGGTACGGACATCCGAGGGTTCACAGAACGTACACATTATGGAACGGGAGTGGGACAATGCTCAGGAGAGTTGAAATGTGCCATGCCTTGAGATGCCACATCACATGTGGAGAATATAAGTCAAATTGTACATGACTTGAGATGCTAGATAGCCTCGACACAGTATAAATTTTCATCCCAGAAAATGCATTGGCCTTATTGCCGCATGAGGTTTATCAATGCAGTATAACATACAAACATATGAATTACATTGTTCGTTTACATAATTTTGACATGTCAATTAGCTGTGATTTAGCAGCACGGCAGTAATTAGGCTAGAGTCGAAGTACATTTAATAATACAGCTTGCTTTTTTACCTCCATTGGCTATACACAAAGGGCTTGCCGCAAATGAAGCACAATACCTTGCTGATCTCGTCAAGGAGCATAAATTATCACGCAAACACCAGTCATCTTCGCAGTGGATTTTCGCTCGCCATCAAACAAAGACGGTCACTGCATCGCGCATTTTCATGATGCGCTTCTGCAGCCCTCTGGAAAGCTCTTCCTTCCGATATTAGAAAGACACTAGAGCTATGCACTTTTTAATCTAGATTAATAACGCATTTCTTTATAACTGCTTTTTGTGTTTAGTTTGTTGTCCTTCCCCCTCGCATCTGATTAGCACGGTTGGCTAAATACAGTGCAAAGGAAGTTTAACATACATTCAATCAAGTAATTGTAGCTCTGTGTTGCCTAACCTGGGCCCACTCAAGATGAGCATGTACTTTAAAGACCACAACACATCTTCTCAAAGCGGTAGCAAATCAGTCATTCGCACACTTAATTATTCGTGTGATGTGAACAAATACACCCGATTTTTGTGAGTTACGGTACGATAACATTGCAATGTTGTTTGCTTTAGAAAAATAGAAAGTGGAAGCACTTCAAAATACAGTATGTCAATTGCATGACATGTTTTCTATTTAACAATAACTGGCAAAATGTGCACCATTTTTTTAATAGGCATAATAATCATGAACTAGCTTTTTTGCCCGTCCAAGGACGAGTGTATATTGCAGTAAATCTGAAATATTCAATGGAAAAATAATTCAGCTCATGATTATTAATGAGGGGGGGGTGGCCCATGTGGAGTGACGTCACCCGCTAATGGTTATTGGGGAAGGGTGCGGCATATGGAGTGACGTCACCCGCTCATGATTATTAATGAGGGGAGGGGTGCGGCATGTGGAGTACTCGCCCTTCTTGTGCGTTCGTGTAAATTTCCACGCGTGCATGAATATTAATGAAGGGGTGGGAGCTCTTTTGCAGTGACGTCACGCACGGATGTAGCACTGTGCTGCGTAGATTAATTTTTTACCGTCACTTTCTGTAAAGAAACATCATATTTGAAGCAACTTTGCGTGATAAATTATTTAATTCAGCCCGACCTTCCTCTGCGTTGGTGTAAAAATCCACCCACTCATGAATATTAATGAGGGGGGTGGGCCTCATGTGGAGTGACATCACGCGCAGGACGGACAGACATTTATGGGTGATTATAGTAGGTCATTATTTAAATCGTGGTTATTATTTCATGCGCTGCAGAGCATTTCTCGAAGGAACTGATGACACGGTCTGCACTTACTGCACTGATGCACAGCACGTGGATCACCAATCACCAACAACAGGATAAGCCAATTGCTCAAAATGTCTGAGACAGGAACACATCGCATTCCAATGTACTCAACGCCATCATCACAATCTACCCTCCCAAGAGAACTCTCAGCACGGCTTTTGTGTGTTTGATTGTGCGGAAACCCAAAATGGTCATGTTAGGCTGTATTGAGCTAATCAAACCAAGTGCCATCATATTATTAAATATATTGATGCCGAGTGTGGCCAACAGATACGTTACTCATGCACTGGTGCACAGCTACTATTCAATTACCCATGTGGATGCTTTCACTATTGGATACTTTACTGGAGATGAGTGGAGTCCGAGGTCAGCTGGGAAATCCAGAGCCATGCTCATGTGGTGAGCGAATATGTAATGACATTTTGTCCAAAGGGAACGACTTTTCCCTTCACAACTTCAGATTGTATCACCTGCCTGACATTTAATTTGGTACACATTTGAAGAACACTGTACCATTTTCTGAAGTTACTGAATGGCATGTGTAATTTACTACAGTAGTTGGTCAGGTTTTAAAAATGACTGGCAGAGATAAGATATTGGCATTCAAAATGTATTGCTACAGAACGATCTAAGCTGGACCCAAAGAGTGACCAACGTAGAAGTAAGAAAAAGGTTGCACATAGAAGCTGATGATGCAAGCAAGTGATGAGAAGGAAACTGGCACTATTTGGACACATATGTAGGATGGAAAACATCGAAATTTAAAGTGTGTTGTTGCGAAAAATGGAAGGAACCGGAAAGAGAGGAAGACCTAACAGAGAATGGTTTGATGACATGAGAGATTGGTGCCAGAAAGATGTGGCACTACTTGAGCATATTGGCACAAGACAGGGGAAAGTGGAAACATATTACGAAATGTGAAGTGGACACCTACAGTCTCCCTGCCTATGGATCGTGAAGATGATGAGGAGCCAACGTTTGACGATGAATTCACATGTTGTTACGAGCAGCCAATTCAATGACACTGTGCAGTTGTTAATACAAATTATTAATCAAGTTGACAGTGGGTTTCACAACAAGTTGTTTCTAGGTACTTTGCAAACATATCTGTACAAACACTTTAAATCGGCAACTATTAGGAAAACAAAAAGTCGTAGAAACATTTCTAAAATGGAGATGTGCATTTAAAACTGAAAGTGACAATGAAGACAAAAAAGGCAATCCTAAATGAGATAATGAACGTTATACTGAAAAAAGAAGTCTTAACTCGTGATTTTAAAACATTTATGGACACCCAAGCTCCTGGTTAAGGGATTGACATCCATAGTTTAGTGTGTGTTCTGAAGTTGACAAAGTTAATTCTGCCAGTTAATTCTAGCAAATCGCCTGTGAAGCTGGTTGAATTCACCAGCGAAACTTCATACTCAAATTGTAAATGTTGTGGGTTTACTCAACACACTGGTGTGCTAAAGTAGCAACTACTTGGCACGTTTTGTTTACGTGACAAACCTTACTAATTGGCTGTGTCGGGTGGTGGTGGTGGGTTAACGACGCATTTATATTCATGCGATCTAAGCCAAAAAAATGTTTTCGTTATTAATGTTGGCCGTGAAAGCCGAAGTGTTAAACCGAGTGTGTTTGCGTGACGTGGCTTTTCAGAGCGGTTCTATGAAGACCACGAGAACCTGGTGCAAAACCTGGTGACGTGGACCCGCGATACACAGAACGGGCTCACCTTCGTGGAGCGCAGGGAAAAGAACGCTCTCTTTAAAAACCCACAGGTGCACCAGCATGGCCTGAATATCTGTTTTAGTTTGTTGTCCTTCCCCGGCATCTCCGATTAGAGCGGTTGGTTTCGTACGGTGCGTAAATAAGTTGACCATACATACATACTTACTGTAGATAATCGTCTTAAAAATGGAACATGGTTTCAAGGAATGTTGTACAACTGTTTTAGATTTAGTATAATATGACTCTCTTGTCATATAATTTTTACATTCTAAAGTCTTACCGTTAAGGCTCATTTGGGCTTCATTAAATTTGTTTAAATTATGACAACCCTCTTGAGATTTACAGGTCACGGAACTGAAAAAGTAAACACTAGTGAACTGTGTGCGATTTTTCTGAATTCCCGAATACCTCACAGAGGTTATATGAACTGTACATCGGTTACCACAGCCTAAACCACATCTCTGAATACATTTCAACATGTTGGTCTGAAAAACACCCGGGCCTGTTGGTATTTAAATCCATGCCTTCCCCAAATTCTGATTCCAAAGAACACAGGATGAGATGTTATTATCCTTTGTGCAAGCACTTCCAAGAGTTCATGAACAGTGAGCCTGGTGAAATTTGGGGAGCGCATCGTCAGTAGTGAACCTTTGGGTCCTAGGGTGTTTCGGCCTTTCATACTATACACCCTCCCCAAAGGCGGCCAGCGACAGGGTGATCAATCCTACGCTTGCGTCCCATTTCCAATTAGTCATAGGAGTTGCCTTGTTGTTGATAGCCAACATCCCATGGGACTATGCATGGCAGGGGCGTCCTCCTCCCTGAGTCAAGCATTGTTGACTGCATACCTCCTGGCCCTCTCACTTTGGGGCCCAGCTGGGGTCTTTCCTCTTCATCCAGAGCCACTGACTGCTGCCTTCTGCCGCCTCCGATACAGCTCTGATTGCCGAACGCTGGCTCTGGCCCTTAATTCCCAGGTCTCTAAGCAGTCTGGTTGTAGATGTTGCCACAAAACCTCTGCAGCCCACCTCCACTGGTAGGACTTCTGTGTTCCAGCCATGATGCCGTGCTTCGGCAGCTAGATCGGCATAGCGCAGATGTTTTCGCTCATAAGCCTCATCTACTGAGTCCTCCCAGGGTACTGTGAGCTCAATGATGAAGACCTTCTTGAGCGAACGGGACCAGAGCACCATGTCAGGTCTTAGGGTGGTGGTTGCGATCTCCGGAGGAAACACAAGTTGCCGGCCAATGTCAGCTAGCATTTTCCAGTCGCGGGCCAAGCGCAGCTGGTCTCGCTCTATTGGTGTAGAGCCGCTCTTTGGTGGTTTAGCCCCTTCGCGGACAAAGGTCGTCCGTAAGGGGTGTGATGCTGCTGGGGGTGGTAGGGAGTTGGTGGCAGTTCGCTTGTCCTCCAGGGCGGATGCAAGGTTTTTAAGGACTTGTATTTAAATCCATGCCTTCCCCAAATTACCTCGATCATAGCCATACTAAAAATCTAATAATAATCGCCAACTTCGTAATCAACACCACCTTCTTATAAAACTTAATCGACTATTATAGGATATTTTTTTATATATATTTAATGTAAAATAAAAATAATATATATCTTCATGATAAATGATAATTAGATAAATGCTTACTTACCTCCGTTGGATGGAGAGAGCCAGCTATTGCTATCCCATTTTGCTGTGATGAGAGCCATTCCATGGGACGATCACCGTTGACTTTCCACAAAGTGGTGCCTATTTTATATAGCACAGTTGAGTGATTAGCTGTGTCCGCGGTTGTTCACGACCCCAGTTTATGGACAATGTTAACTATGCCTCGGGCTTTCCTACCTTCACCCGTGATGTGCACAAGTGAATTATCTGGCAACAATGGCGGCATCTTCATCGGCGCTTTCTTCACCAGGCAACCATGTGCAGTCTGTGCAGTGTCCCAGTAGAACCAATGCTTGGTGCCCATGTCTAGTGCATTACTACACGTTGCTTACACATTTAATTTGTCAATTAATCAAACTGCACTCGTCCAGTGCAGGGGCGGTTTCTTCATTAGGGCGATTGGGCGACGCACCACCAATGTCATTCAACCACAGAGTCACGCTAGCCGTCACTGTCAGCCTCTGGATATAGTCCAATCAGCGTCATGTCACGTTCTGTGGAGTACCGCCTCTTTTGGGGCGATTTCACTCCGGCTGAGAATCGCCCCGAGTGGTCCCATAGACTTACATTCAAAGATGTTTTTTTTCGAACGGGGGCGCTGCAATGCATTCTCTATGGCTTCCGGGAGGGCATGCACTAACGTGCTTACGTCATCATACGTGCTTACGTCATCATACGTGCTAACGTCATCATACGTAAGCACGTTTCATCCAACAATATAATTTATCGCTACCTAGTGGAATCTTTCATAAAATAAACTTGAGTGGTTTGTTTTAATAGTGAGTATATAAACAAACAAGATGTATTGTAAGAGTCACTTTATTTTTCATTAATATTAAAGAAGTGAAGTTGCCTTTACATGCTTAAGCTGTTAATTTATTCATTGCATGGGTGGACCTTATCCTTATCAATCATCCAGACATTTGCCCCCCCTGAGAGATTTTGCAGGAGCCGCCACTGGTCCAGTGAGATGTCATAACGTGAGGCATAGTTTATAGCTCCCCAACACTCAAGCCAGGAGCCACCATTGGGCCCTGTCTCAACCTCCAGCTGGAATTTGAATTCTCAGTCTTCCAATTTAGATCCAAGCCTGCTAATTACACTGTAACACAGCAGAATTACACAAAATTAGAAAACAAATATATAACAAGAGTACATTTTCTAAGACAAACAAAATCATGAATGCAACGCTATAAATTTTATATCACGTATTTCCAACACAACTACTGTACTTAAAATGTCATGCCTTCCTGCTTATGCTAAATTTTTATTTGCCGTGCGCTACAAACATACACAACGTTGATGCATCTGGTGCAAGGGTTGGAGTGGTGGTGCAGAGGTTAGTGCAGTGCGTGAGGAACGCAGCGAGCCAGCTATGTGCCCGGGGAGTGATAACTGAACTTGCACTGGCCCTCTCTACCTCCTTCACCAACTTACGCTGAGCACCATGGTAAAATATGGACAAACAACCCCCATGACTAATAACACAACAATGGGGAGACCTTCATCCAGTAGTAGATTGATAAAGGGCTGTACATTTTTATTATTATCGATATTGTTTATGTTTAATGAATGAAATAATGCAGCATCTCAACGGTGCATCTCAGCAATAAATAGAGTATTTGGCTGCTATAAATTTCCACATGATAAGCCACTTTGTTGGGCTATCATGTATGGCCAGGTCGCTTCTGAAAAAAGCTATATATTTCAGTGGGCCTTACCTGGTAAAATAAAAAATAGTTTATAGTTTAGTTTAAACACACATTCCAAACACAGAATGGCCAAGATGCTATGACATCTGCGCAATACGTTTTCTATCAATTGTTTACACTTTTCAGAATTATCTGCTGGGAAACAAAGAAGCTAAGGATGTGAAGGACAGGGATAAAGAATCACTCCTGGAGGTTTGTATTGAATGGCTGCAACCTGCATGGAGCATTATGTACACCTTGACATCTGTGGCATGTAATAATAATTACCAACGAAAATCATAATGAGTCTCAAGACTATTTCAGGAGTGTCTTGCATTGGATTGTTTGACCAGAGAAGCCAGATAAAACCCACATTAGTGGGGTGACACCAAGCACTGCCATGCCTCTAAAACACCTGGCAAACTCTGGTGCTCATCCATCCAAGTACTAACCAGTCTGAGCCCTGCCTTTCTTTTGAGATCCAACAAGGTCAATTGCATGTAGGGTGATTTGGTCACGGAAAATTAACTACATCATGGTTCAACACACGTGTTGATGATGTGTTCAGCACGACACCCAGCTGCGTAATACCGAGCACGGGGCCACAAGTGGACGATTATGTGCTTATTGTGGCCTGCATTGACTTAGGGGACGCCCACCAAGTGCACGGGTCACTTGGAAATCTTAGATATTTGAGAGGCTGCTCATGTGCAGTGATCTCTCGTCACTGGGATTAAAGTTAGGAACTCGAGAAGAATGTCAGGACTGCATATCTGCGAACTGCATTTATGCAACGTTCTTGTAATATTTACATTATTAATGAAAGCTGACAAGTAGCAAAAACAGTGTTCTTTCATTTACACCTTTAATCTCCCCATGAATTCCATTGTAGCTGTGCATACTAATTCAGGGCTATTATTATTATCCATCAGTGATCCACCATGAAAGAGGTTGTGGGAAAGAGTTCCAGAAAGCATAGCAGCTTCCATTAAATTGTGATTTTAGAATGTTGTAATTCATGTCAACTATCATGTCCCAGTTTATATCATAAATCCAAAGTTTAAAGATAAACGTGCATTGATCGATGAGTCATTTTAGGAAAGGTTCAACCAATGTAAGAGTATCTATGCCTCCCTTGCAAAAGATATATTACTTCTTATTGCTTGTTCTATAACTAATAAAACGAAACTAATTCATCCATTGTGTTTGGTATATTGACCAATGCATAAAAATATTTATTTTTTTCCCCATCAACTTAACTACGAAGGGAAATTTCCAGTTAAGATTATGTATGTACTCATCACCACAGAATAATTGCTTTTACGAACGTGAGTTTTAGACGTTCCCACGTGAAGAAGCAATTGTCTGATTGCGAACAGCACCAGATCATCCCTCTCCCACCTTGCCTCACCTCCGGTCCTTCTGCTCCCTGTCTTCCTTCCTACCTCCCTGCTCGTGCTGCCAATGGGCAGGAATGTTTCTGTGGGACCTCAGTGGCTGTACCTGAGCTGGAAGGAGAGCTTTTCCTCAAGGAAGATGGCAAAAAGTCATGGAAGCGGCGCTACTTTCTGCTTCGAGCCTCTGGAATCTACTTTGTGCCCAAGGGCAAGACCAAGGTGAGTGGGCCCCATGGTGCTGTGATGCGACATCAAGCCCTGTGAACGATGACAGTTTGGTTAACCGGCTTTCACGGAAGCTGCAGGAAATCTGTAAACAAAAATGTTTGCTCCTTGTTTTGCTTTTATTTTCTCCCATATAATGAGATGAACACATTTCCATGTTTTTATTCTAGCAGTGCAATTACAATGTATATACATAAAATGACCCCCAGATAACAGAATTGAACTGCTATGCCTTCAAATTTCCTTGACACTGTCTGCACACTTTTAAGGCACACCATTCAAACAACGTTTGTCGCATTCGATCAAACTGAAACGTTTAATTCTCAGAAACTGAAATAAGCTGAAATTAAATAACAAAGGCCAGTAGGATAGATTTTTTTAGCTATCATTAGTAACAGGGCTGGTACCGTCAAATGAATATAATACACTTGAGCACACAGATGTGCTCATAGATGGCTGCCCAGATACAAACACAGGATCTCAGCTGTGTGAGATCAGTCATACGCCACGGTATTAGCACTCTTGGACTACCTGCCGACCCTCTTCTATGTCATCAATTATAACACATTTCCATGCAATGATACATGCAGATTGTAGTATTAAAGTTAAGGATGTGTAGTGGGTAATAAACTGGAGGAAGCTTACTCTGAGGCAACACGTTTATTACAACACCAGACTACAACACAAAGGGGTAACGGCCCCTTTTACTCGATACTCTATGGAGGGAGTCCCTCCAGGCTAGCTCGCCTCTTACTGGCTATCACTACGCCTACACTGCTGGGGCTTGGGTCTTCTCTTGAGTCTTCACTGGTTATAATCTGTACTCTCACTGGTACGAGCTCGAGCCGACCCGAGCCAGGGGTTCGACTCTGCCCATTGGGCTCTTCTCTTCAGGGCTCTAAGTGAGGCTCTTCGATCTGACGATGACTGCCGGGACCGCTCAGGGACCTGGCTTATATACAGGGTCCCGGCTCACTCCTCCCCTAGCCACGCCTTCTTTCCAGGACCTTCTCCAAGGGCCTGGAGAATGACATCATCCCCCAGCCCCCTTCCTGGGGTCTGGGGTAACGACCGTTGGTCACGATGCTCCCCCCAGCGATTGCCTCGGGCCAATGGCCCGTCATCATTATCCAGCAGGTTCAGCCTCCCTTCCGCTCCCTACTGGCACAAGCTAGTATTGCCGGCTATAGGTAGTGGCAATCATGTTCAACCATGCCACTACAGATGTACTGACTACCCTAACAAGCAACAAACGGAACCATACTGCGTACGAGCTTTTAATGATATAAATTGCTACTTACTACCAAAAATGCCCTTTAATAAAGTCTGTTATGCACAATGATGTTCAAAGGTAGAGGACAGCATTAGTTATTCTCGTACTGTGTTGGTTGATCCGTGACGTCTTTCCTTTGTCTTTTTTAGAAATACTTTTTTAGAAAAGCCTGCATTAGTTAAAAATGCAGCACTATATACTGTATGTAATACAGCATATGCAACCTTTTGAATGTCACATATCACAATGTATGTTGTCAGACCCTGCGGGACCTCACCTGCTTCATCCAGTTTGAGAATCTCAATGTGTACTACTGCCTGGACTACAAGAACAAGTACAAAGCACCAACAGACTGCTGCTTCGCGCTGAAGGTACTTACCGGAATGTGATAATGCACAGTGAATGTCAATCCGTATTGAGAGTAAGATATAAAGAATGTAATAGGGTACAGTTTTCCTAAATGTTCAAAGTACACGTGGGAGCAACAGGATCGTTATTAATATTGATAAATTTCACGTTTAATCACTGCGCTCATAACTTGTAAAGAACAGCACTCCAAAGTGAGGTGCATATTGATTGCCATATTGTCTAAATGAATAGACACTATGATTCAATGAGTTACATATTTCTTTGAAACCACACTTTTTTTCTAATGACCCCTATATATCACAATCACATAGGCTGAATGAACAAATTCTGTTAAATTTAAACCTTTTTTTTCTTTGAAATATGCAAATCTTATGGTATTATGAGGAACATTTCTCATTTTTACATCATACGCGATGATTTTCCCCAGCACCCTCAGATTCAGAAGAAGTCGCAGTATATCAAGTACCTGTGTTGCGATGATGCACGAAGCCTTCATCAGTGGGTCACTGGCATCCGCATTGCCAAGGTACCATCCCCACACTTTGTTGTGACGCTCAGAATTAACATAAGTATGTTTGTTAAACTTCTTTCGCACCGTACATAGCCAACCATGCTAATCGGAGGTGTGGGGGAAGGACAATAAACTAAACACAAAAAGCTGTTAGAAATAAATGAGTTTTTAATCTAGATTTAAAAGTGCATAGCTCCAGTGGCTTCCTAAGATCGTAGAGAAGAGCTTTCCAGACGGCCGCAGAAGCACATTTAAAAGCGTGCGATGCGATAAACGTCTTTGTTCAATGGCTGGCCAAAAGCTGCTGCAAGGATGACCGGAATTCGCGTGATGGTTTATGCTCCTAAACGTTTCAGTTTGATTAAAAAAAACAAAAAGGAGTGAAATGTGGCTTGATGGTGAAGAGCGAGAATGCTCAATAACTTCGTAGCACAGTGGATGAAAATGTGACCTGTGCAAGAAAACAAACAAGCGTGGGCAAAGAGAACATTCACTGAGCAACACAAATTAACTGCTGCTCAGCAAGACATTTTAGCACCGACATACCCCTTTTATAATAAATAAATAAATAAATGTTAACATCAACTATCCATTTGTTCACATAATAAGTTCATACAAAATAAATGCTGTCTTCAATTATTAAAGTGCTATTAAATGCATAGAATAGGACTTTTTCAACCTTTTTTTTTTATAAAAACATCATCTGTTGATGCTTTCAAACACTTGCTGTACTTATTGAATACCTCCGATTAGTCCGGTTGGCTACATACGGTGCGAAAGAAGTCCAACATACAATACAATTCAGCAGTTAATTACTGGAAGCAGAAGTAAGTTAATTTTCTTTTGAAAGTGGTTAAGGAGCTGTTCCTTCATCCTCTTCTCATACAGTATGGCAAGTATCTCTATGACAACTTCAAGGAGGCGAACAGGAAGGCGGGCGAGGGCTGGCCCACCCTGGCCAACTTGGTTGTCAAAACACCAGAGCCTACACCAGGTACGGACAAGCCAGTTAAGCCACAGCAAGGCACAAAGCCACAGCAGGACACAATCAACAGCACGCAACAACGACAACTCAGGCTTAGTTCAGATGCTTGTGCCCAAATCTCCATGAACGTGCCCCATCTTGTCGGATGTTAAAAACCACACAGTGTCGAACCCGGTTCATGGATGGAAGATTGTCTAGGAATATCGGCAGTAGAGCAATGTAATATGAAATCCATCTATGCGAAGGTTTGAGTGTTACTCTCTCATATTTGTGGATTTTCTGTGGGTACCCTGGTTCCTCCCTCATATCAAACACAATTGGCTTATCATCCCAATGCAGGACCCTCCTGAAAAAGGGTCACGAGGCTCAGTGAAGCTTTCCTGGGTAAACAAAGCAATATTATATACATCATATTGGTTAAAACAGTCAAACGTATAAAGCCATAGACTTTGTTTTAGGTCATTTGGTATTACCTGTAGTGGCAGAGCATTACAGTTAAGCCCAGGAAGTGGCCTCCATGTGTTTTTTTAAGCCAGGGTACTACCCCCTGTTAAAGGAGACAATGTGCCATTCATTCACCAATTAAAAAGTACAGAATGGCAAGTAAATACTACAAAAGTAAAGACTGCATCAGTAAAACAATTTAGTGATTCACTTCGTCATGATTATGTGAGTTTAATTCTCACGCTCAGCTACGATCTTTGGTAGATGATATCTGAATTGGTCATGGCAATCTCCAGTACTAACCCACGTTGATCAGTGTGGGGAAGTATGGTCAAAAGAGTCAATACAGCTGGCATGGGACGTGGTGGCCTTAATCCAGCAATATAATGAAAAAGGGGATGAAATTTATTGTTATCATTTGCTTAAGTCAAGTAATTAGCTTTTAGGTTGTGGAGTCATGCAGTCTGCATCGTGATACCGACCCACCACCCCCCAGTCTCACGTCTCAGCTAGGCAATCTCAAGTCAGGAACGGGCACAATGCTCTTCTTAAGTAAATGATACAAACAAAAGAACACCTCATAAAATATGCAATTGCAATCTGGAACATTTTTGGAATAAGTCAATTCATGGCTCTGCAATGGTTCTCTAATATATTGAGTTCAATGGAAAAAAAACTACGTTTGGTTTTATACAGGGTTAAATTAAAACAAAAACGTCTCAATGCTGCTGTTGATGATGAAAGGCACTGTGAGTTTGTAGCCTGGGAATATATTCTTGAAATGTCGACATTTATTGCAATAAAGCCACATTGAGTTTTATTTTCAATAGGTGGCAGTATATACCAGTACAGTATAATATACCAAAAATAAGACCTCAAATCTATCAGCTTTCGGGGGCATTCTCCTGAGCAATGTATTGGATATTGACATATGAACATAGAGTGTATACATTTTTATCATATCACTATATTTCAATGATTTGATCAATTCATTATGAAAGCACACTAAAATTGTAACACATCCCATTGTAGTTTCAAAGCAGTGCTATCCACATTCTAATTTACAGAGATGAGTGGCTTCTTTTAAACCAAATTTTCACAATGAAGACACAGCACATATGAGAGTAGCCAGTTGATTTTGCAATGATTTTTAGCATGATAAGAATGTGTGCCTGAGAGCTGAATACTACATTTTCAGAGGAAGTTTCATATTTCCTTTTCAAATATTGAACGGTAATCTTTCAAGGCTGAGTGGCTGAGACAATGAAGCGGTACATTCTGCAACAACATTGGGCTGCATTCAAATCCGTTGCTTTTTGAAAGTTGAATACATTAAATGTGTCTCAGTCTTGTAAAGGAAACATAACTGGACAATATCCAATTATTCAACTGAACCAATTACCTACGGCCACTGGCTAGAATCTAAACAGTATAATTTGATTAGCAGTGGATGTGAACCATCACCTTGACGTTGTGGAGGGGCTTGCATGCTCCGATGAACTTCAGCGCTATGTCGTTGGGAGTTCCATACTCCTGGTAGGGTCACCCATGACGAACGAGGGGAGGTTTCAGACTAAGAATGGTTCATACCGAAGTAGGCAATGGAAAACCACTTTTGGTATATTTGCCAAGAAAATATTCACGACCAGAAATGTAAGGATAGCTGCGTTGGTGTTGGACAGTGGGCCCCCAGGCAAGAAAGCATCCACATAACTACTGGGGAAGAATGAAGAACTCTGACAAGTGGAGCTACCTGTAATAATGCTACCACAGGAAATCCTAAATGAACTGCGGATGCTGAAGTCTATAGCACCGAAAGCCAAGATCTTCGTTGTCTTAACACACATACAATTGGTACGTGGAATGTCGGGAGTATGAACACTGGCAAGTTGGAGATTGTAAAAAAGGAAATGAAAAGGACCTGTAAAGATATCCTCGGTGTCAGTGAGCTAAGATGGACAGGAATAGGGCACTTTAATTCGGACGACTGTAAGATTCTATACGCAGGCCATGAATCGTACAAGAGGAATTGAGTAGCCATTAATTTGTGGCAGCAAAACGTCCAACTCTGGAGGTTACAACCCGGTTAATGATCACATTGTCTCAGTACGTTTCTAATCCATACCAGTTAACATCACCATTGTGCAGGTCTACGCACCCACCTCAATGTCTGAGGCAGCTTACATTGATTATTTTATGGGAAACTTCAAGAAACAATTGACAGCACACCCAAAGGCCACATATTAGTTGTCATGGGAGATTGGAATGCAAAAATAAGTGACATGCGGACAACTTGGATAACTGGACAGCATGGCCTTGGAAAAACGAATGATGCTGGGGGCATTTTATATATTTTTTGTGCTGCCAATGACCTAGTCATTACAAATACTCTCTTTAAGTAGAGATGGAGAGAATACACAGAGACACTGTATAAGCTAGATGAAAGCATTCGCAAAAAAAATTGTGCAGGAGAGTATGAACAAGAACCTATTGTGATTGAGTGTGAAGTACACAAAAGACCATGAAAGCGCATACAAACAAAGCTCCAGGAGGATATGGCATACCCATTGAGCTCATCAAGGTGTAATGTGAGGATATATCCGGCTCACTGACGTATCACAACTCGTCATGATGATTGGCTCTGCCGGTCCTGGTCTATAGCCAATGGGGGGAAGCCTAGGGGCGTGGCCCTGACATAATGGAAAGGTGACAGCTGTAAGTAGAGGATTGGTTCTGCTGGCTTTGGCCACAGCCAATGGGGAGATGAGTCAGGGGCGTGGTCCCGGGAGCTTACGAGGGAGCCTGGAATATTCCATGGAGGCTAACCAGGATTGGTGGAAACGTACCACGTGACCCAGGTATTAAATAGGGGTGGAGACGAACGACACGTGGTCAGAACGGGAACGAACAGAGGAAGGGGGCCACGCGGGAGCGGGGCTCCGGGTTGCCACGTGGCAGTGCGTCTCTCTCTATCCCTCTCACGCTGCCTGAAGGAAAGCTGTAATACAAGTTGAATAAAAGACGGATTCCAGAAGTCGCCTCAACGACCTTTATTACAAAGGGATCAGGAGATGAGACTATTACTCAGTTTTCAGCCAACAGATTTGGTCGAGTGGCGAGTGGCGCAGAGACTGGAAGCGTTCAGTATTTATATATATACCTATACATACAGTAAGGTGACCCCAGAGAATGATCCAGCAACCGTACTATAGCTCTCATATCCCATACCAGCAAGCTTTTGCTGAAGATTATTCAACATAGAATGGACATATATGTAGAAAAAAACTACCAGATGTTCAAGCAGGCTTCAGGAAAATAAGAGCAACAAGGGACCAAATTGCGAACATCAGACGGATAATGGAAAGATCAAACAAATAGAGGCAACAGCTGTACCCCTCCTTTATTGACTACAGCAAAGCTTTTGATTGTGTGGACCATGAACTGATGTGGATTACAATGAAGGAAATGGGAATCCCACTAACCTTGTATGCCTTTTACATAATCTATATGCCAATCAAAAAGCAACGGTTAAAACAGAGTATGGGGAGACACAATAATTTGACATATTCTTGGTTATTTCGGTAAAGTCACGTAGAAGGGAAACAATAAAAATATAAAAATATAAAACAATTAAATTCTCACGACGTTTCGACTGCAACACAAGCAATCATCATCATCAAAACCACAGCAAGAAAATGTTCTTGCTGTGGTTTTCACACTTGATGATGATTGCTTGTGTTGCAGTCGAAACGGCATTGAGAATTTTATTGTTTTATATTTTTATTATTTTATTGTTTCCCTTCTATATTTTCTTGCTGTGGAGAATTTTCTTGTTTTATATTTTTTATATTTTTATTATTTTATTGTTTACCTTCTACGTGACTTTACCGAAAGAACCAAGCATATGAATCCCTGCAGTCACGAAAGCTTTAAATCAAAAAAATAATTTAACAATGGGAAAGGAGTAAGACAGGGATATATACTGTCTCCATACCTATGCAATTTATGCGAGAGGCAGGCCTGGATTCCATCGAATCAGGCGTGAACATTGGAAGCAGACTAATAAACAAATTAGGATATACTGATGATACCATCCTACTAGCAAATAGCCAAGCTGAACTTATGACCCCATTGGTAAATGTTAAAGAAGCTTGTGAGAAGGCTGAACTCTGACTCGATCTCCAAAAGACAAAGGCGATGGCGACACAACACCGAAACTCATTTAGTCTGGGAAATTATCCAATCGAAGTTGTGAAGAACGTTGTATGCATGGGCTCCTTGATTGCTGAAGACGTTGAGTGTAGCCACGAGATCAGAAGGCGGTTGGTTAGTTTGCGGTAGAACAGCCATGTTAGGCTCAATACGATATGGAGAGACAAGGGCATTACCATAAACACCAAGAAGAGGCTTGTCGAAGCTCTGTTATGCCCTCTTGCCCTATATGGATGTGAGTCGTGGACGCCGAGATTGAGTAAGTGAAAGAGGATCAGCGCATTTGAGATGTGGCGCTGGAGAAGAATGATACGTATACCATGGACAGCAAAAATATCAAACATGCCCGTCCTGAGAGAGATTGGTCCTGCGCTTCTACTCGAGGCCTTATTCGTGAAGCAAGAATTGACAAACTTTGGACACGTTATGAGGACCTCTGGACTAGAGGAATCGGTCTTGCTCGGGACTAGAAAAAGTAGCAGGGGCAGAGGTCGACCTCGGAGAAGGTGGATGGACGACATCAAGAACACCGCTGGCCTTATACACTAACCCAGCTACGAGATGCAGCGGAGAGGCAGGTGTGGATGGCAGAGTCTGGTTGTGGATGTCACCAGAGGTCGTACTCGACCTAACAGCAACAGTTGTTGACAAGTTGACTGCCTGGAATCCAAATAGCGTTATATGATTAGCAGTGCATGTGAGTCAACAAGTTTGTAAAAGATAGATATATAATCCCGCCATTAAACTGTAATTAGGAAATTAGTATTTATGCTTAACAATTGGCAGCTCATTAAGACTTAGGGATATGGCCAATATTTTTGGGAACATGTGACTATAAACACTGGGTGAGAGCCATACGTTTGTAATTACAAAATGTTCCAAAGCAACATTACATTTCCCATATTAATTACCACTTCGACAAAGTAAATGCACGTGTACGATGTCGTGACTGAAAATGAAACTGTTTCATTACATTCATCACTGATTCTTCTTTTACCAATTAGTTGTCACCAGTTAAGACATTATTTTTGTAATATATATAAATGTATACATTAGCTTGAAAATAACATACGCTGTATCACTTAACTCAAGCGAAACTATAAAAATATGCGTGCTGCCATAATTCAGGAATCCACTGTGGTGAACGAGAGCAGACACATGGCTAAAAACCTCCTCTCGTTCACGACACATTCGTTCTTTTAACATCTGCTAGAGACAAAATCGAGTATCTACTCTTTTGACTTTTATTTACCCATGATGGTCTATGGAAACGTGCAAATGAATTTGTGTCTCGGCATTGCTTTTTTTCGCATTGAATGCGGTCCCATATTTAACCCTTGCCCTACTGTTACCAATAGCACCTGGCCATCTGGCAGCATTTGTTTAACAAGCCTGACTCTGCTCACGAGACACAGGTCAAAACTGGTCCAGATTTTGTTTGATCAATAAATGTTGCTTTATAATATTTGTCTGGAAAGCCAATCTGCTCATGAAAAGAAACATATAGTTTTATTTATATGTGGAGGCACAAAATAGATGTTTGCGTTCATATATTTATACACACATAAATACATAGAAGCCTGAGTTGCAAAGAACAAACTCATCACCTACAAAGTTCTTCGTGACACGCGGGTGACTGTGCTGTGTAGGTGTGGTGGCCGACAGCCCGACATCGAAAGGAGTGCGCAGCACCAACACCGTCAGCGCCATCTTCTCCGAGGCTTGGAAACGAGGCACCGAGCTCACACAGGTCCACCGGGTCAGTGCGATCATGTGTGCGTGCGTGCGTTAGGCCATTGCTATGGATATATGTCTCGGTTTCGCAGCCAATCTTTGGTGTGGATGAATTTTTGTGTGCATGTGTGTATACGAGTGCAACGGTTAACGGTCTGCGCTACGAACCTGACTATTCGGGTTCGATTCCCACTCACGGCCAACATCAGTGACGATTTTCTGAACCGGTCCTGGGCCTCCCCGAGGTCTGCCTCAAATGAGTACCTGGTGCGATGTGTAAACATCACCACTAGGGAGACAAAGGCGCCTGGACGTGGTGCTGGCCACCCACCCCCTCGTGTGCCGTGCTGGTCTTCATAGGTGCTCGCTAACAGCACTTACCCCAACAGTCTGTTAAAGCTATATGGGGGATCTTTGTTTTTGTGAGTATGCCCACGGATTATAAAAACAGTTGGCACAACGGGTCATAACCTCATTTTTTAGGATGCCAGGTAACCAAAGTGATGCATTTTTTGTAGAGATACAAGAGGCCACAGCATGTTACTGGGGAAAAGGCCCATGGATAGATTACAAGAGCCAGTGAAGAGTTGGCAGATGAATGCTTCATAGCATCATCAAAATCACACCATGCACTGCTGCTCTTGCGAATCAGTGTTCCCTCTGTGTTGGCACATTTTTTTAAGTGACAAACACAGTAGTGCATTGCATCTGGATTTTCAAATGCAGGCAATTCATTTATATATTCAGAGCATTAAAATCAATGTATCTGTGCACAATTTTTTATAGTGTATCATGAATAATAAAAACTAAATTCCAACAAAGACATGGAACCCAGTTGTAAGCGAAAGAGAATATTGTTGGCCTTGCATTTACAACGAGGAGTTAGGCGGTGTTATTCTATACATGCACGTACACGTACGCTAGAAATTAATGCTTGCATTAATGTAAAATCTAATCGCAGTGTAGTTTCATTTAGAGTGAACGCTATTAGCATTTCCAACACTGAATAACATGTTATTCCATACACTGAATTCTTTACAAGATGACATCTAACCATATGCATGAGATCTTAAAAGTAATGTTGTGTTTTTATAGCCCTCCAGCATCCAGTATTTTAAGAACCATTACAGATGAGAGGGGGGGGGGGGCATTCTGTTCATCCGGCTTGTCGATTGTCAGTTCAAGATAGATTCTAGAATCTCTGTAAGGTGTTTCTTGAAGGGTCCCAGTGAATCTCGGGTGCCAAAGTGGTGAGATGTTAACTACCTTGCCTAGTATGCAGGGGTTCGTGGGTTCGATTCTAACCCTGATGCCCGCTGTATATTTGTAGTTTGCGTGTTATCTCTCCCCGTGATCACGTGGAGTTTTCTCAGGGTCCTCCGGTTTTTCCCTCCACATTTAGAGTATTTGGCTGCTAGAAATTTCCACATGATGATGACCAATTCGTTGAGCTATCATTTGTGGCTGGGTCACTTCTGCAAAAGAGCTATGTAGCTCAGTGGGCCTTACCTGGTAAAATAACAATAGTGTAGTGAGTTCGACTGAGTCGCAGACGTACTCTTTGAGGCAACACATTTATTAACACCAAGACACGGGGTAACTGCCCCTTAACAGAATAACAACCTATGGTGGTGACCACCAGGCTAACTAAACTAATTACATCGTAACTAGCTACAATGGACCGGACCCCAGCTTGGGTCCCGGTCCACGTGTTGGAGACTCTGTAGGACGTAGAACGTAGACGAAGGTTTCTTCAGGATGAACAACAGTGCCGGTCCCGCTGGGGGACCCGGCTTATATCCTTTGTGGCGTGGCTGGCCCCGCCCTTAGCCACGACCACCTTCCAGAATCCTCGAACAGGATCTCGACCCTGACACGTGACCACCCCTATCCCCCACTTGGGGCCCCTGTGTAGACTTAACCGGTCTCGTGTCCTCTGGGATCAACCAGAGTGCCACGGCCCTTAGTAACCCAATTTCCATTGCTGGCACTCCCGCACCCTATCCTGTAGGGGCCGACACTGCACGCCAAGCGTGGTGCCATCCAGCAGTGTCAGTCAGCGCTCACCGAGCCCCTCTAGGGCCGGTACTGCACCCACATCCAAGTGGTGTCCGCGACGTCGCTACATCGCATGCCGTGCCTCTCTTGGGCCGGCACCACACAGTGACATCCTGTGATGTCACTACAATAGTAACAAAAAATAGAATTTGCTTGCACCGCGTGTGGTTTGGGCAGCCGGGGTTCCAGATTGCAGCTGTTCTTTGCGTAATACACAATCGCCTCCTTGCCCCGGTCCTGAACTTTTCCTCATGCAGCTTCCACCTGTAGCCTCTGGTTCTCTTCTTCTCATCTGTGTTGAGCCTTGTCATGTTAAATGTGACTGATATTGCCACTGGTGTTGTAACCTGTAAATCAAGTGTAGTGTCATCTGATTTAAGCCATAAGTTATTGAGGTTCATCGAAGGTTAAACAAACACAAAATAAACACTCTGTGACTAAGAGCACACTCTCATTGGTGGCAGCTGGTAACCTACTTAGTTTATGTGTTGATGGAGTCATAAAAGTGTCTCTACAAACAAATTCAGTGTCCATTAGCATTTAGAGCAATATGGGTTTTATGGCTTGGGATCCAGTATTTTTTTTGTTACTGAAAATATTCTTTGGTTCTTTCGGTAAAGTCACGTAGGTAGAAAAAATAATAGATCACAACGTTTCGATCGCCACACAAGCAACGTGACTTTACCAAAAGAACCAAAGAGTATGGATTCCTGCAGTCACGAAAACTTCAAATCAAGATTTAACATATTCTGCTACATTCTATGGCTATAGATATAGGATTTTACATGGCAACATTTTTATTCTCTCCCTTTTTGAGAACAAAATATTTGTATTCAAATAAGTTTTTCTATACCTAGTGTACATGTCACTTTATTGTCTGTTGATGTACAGGGGTGCAGATTCATATGTTGGGCAAATGTTCCTATGCAAAACAATCATATGCCTTTGTCACCATCAAAAATGTGGCAAATCACTTTCGCAAAGTGTTTTGGACATTCCTTCCAATATGAATTTGCCCATTGGTTGGGTGCTCTTCTGGTGCAATGAAAGGTGTTACACAAATGGTAATGGGTTAACCTTTATACAGCCCAAAAATTTTACTGACATTAATGATTCATACGTCTTGTCTGCTCAAGCGTGTCAACTCGCATTGCAATTTGACGACAAAAACATTTACATAAAACATATTTCGTGTTACGTAACACGAGCTTCTTTGGGAAATGGCCTGGTGTTTCCATTGTTGAAAATATTTTTAACGGGTATCATAATATCAGTAGCTGAAGATTTCCAGAGAGCCACAATTGATTTTCCTCTTATGAACATCATTTATCAGGAGGCGACCCTGTCTTCCACGTGCAAACACTCACGAATCATCACATATTATCAAACATCCTGACAGAAGTTGATAATGGTGAAACATGGTGACTGTTTGCTTCATTAGTTACAACTGTATGTCATCCATTGCTGGACGAAGGTCTCCGCACACACTGTCATGAAGGTGATTTTTATTTTTACCATATTCCACCACGTTCGTCAGTGCAGGATGGTTAAGACCGGCTCATCACCAATGTTTGCCATGGCCAAGAAATGAACCCAAGTTGCCATTTTCAGAGCAAAATGCACCAACCACTATGTCACCATGCTCCACTGATTTTGCTTACATAATGGTACATTTAGAAACAAATTCTGCACAATGATTATGGAGGCCGTTAATTAACAATGATTTAAGATATTTTGCCTTCATTATCAGTTTGCCATATATCTCGGTCATAATTTGATATTGATGTATATTTAAGCAATGAAACAAATTAAAACGTACAGCTCACATATTAAAAATATTTACATCCTAACATATGTTTTTAAATATTCGCTTGGTGGTGGTGGCTAGCAACGCATAAAATCCAACACTGTAGAGACGAGGGTTCGTGGATCAAATAAGTATTGGGAAACTCCCTTCCTGGCTTGCCATGAGAATGCAGAACAGTAAATGTGGACCCAAACCAGTTCCATATTTATGGGATCAAGCGTTGCCCCCTCACAAGCGCAGGTTTTCGCCAGGTACTCCAGTTACCACCCACATACACATATACAGTAATATACAGATTTACGTCTCCCCCTTTTACGTCCTTACTTAATTAATACCACTACCTGATTTGAGTTCCCTCAACCCACACCTACATGGTTGACAGCATCATCCATCCTTTATCGTATCCGTCACCTTGGCCTTGGCCTCTGCCTACCCTGTAAATTGCTTTGATTTACGTCGTTTCGATATTCATTGCACCTTTTAGGAATGCATCCCCGATCGAATATCGTATACATATGTTTACAATCAGGAATTATGTACACAGTAATTAATTTGTATCTTGCATACACAGATGAATGTGATGTCCTGAAAGTAACCGATCAACTTGATACCCAAAATTAGTTGACATGTGACATTTATGTAAATACTACATATTTATTGAAAATGACTGACCTCATACAGCCAAGTTAAAGTGTCTCTGTATTCAATTACAAAATGGGGCTACATTAGTTTCCATTGTCAGTTTTGATTCATCGATGCCAATTGCACATCTGTATGATGGGGGCCACTTCCTGTGTAGAACAACCACCCTTACTTCCCAAAGAGTGCTGCTATTTGCATTGCCAAAGGATATGACAGAGTTATAATTTGTTTATTGTAAGCGTGACTGTGATTACCAAAATGTGTGCCAATTTTTTTGCAGGAGAGTCAACTGGATGATGTATTCCTGCCACTCCCTCCACCACCTGGTGCTCTGGAGAACTCGGACACAGCAGGAGCAGAAATGTCCTTTCCTCCTCCTCCTGAATCTTTTGTGCAAACCAAGGTCCAAGGCCCAGCGCCACAAGCTCGGCCCATTATCAAGTCAGATGATGTTTCTTCTCCATCTCCTCCTCCATGTGATGGGTTTCCTCCTCCTCCACCTGACACCTTTCCTCCCCCACCTCCTCCAGCAGCAATACCTCAAAGCAGGCCAGCACCGGCGGCTAGAATGAGTGCCAACCCGGCGAGCGGAGTTGTTGTGGCAGTCAGAGCAAAGAAACCTCCATCAGTGCCACAACGCAAATCGAGCCGCCTTTCAAGCAGCGACATAGAACAGGTGCAAGGCATGATGATGGCAGATGACTTTCCACCACCACCCCCGCCTGAAGAGTTTATGCCACCTCCTCCATCTTTCCTTCCTCCACCACCAAAATATTACCCTCCACAAGAAATGGCACTGCCACCTCCTCCCCCTTGCAATGCTCCTACACTTCCTTCTTTTCCAAAACCACGTCCACCAGCTGGCAAGGCACCACAGCCTCCCCAAATCCCATGTGCTCCACAGCTCCATAACAAAGTTGGCACAATACATCAAGCACCGAGAGCCCACAATTCCTTACCCTCAGCTCAACCCAGCATGCCAGATGTGTCCATCTCAGCCCCTCCTGGTGCTGCAGTACCACCACCACCGCCCCCGCCGCCGCCACCGCCACCACCACCAGTTACATCGAGTTCAACCATGCATGTAAAAGCAGTTAACCCTTGTAATGTGGTCCTCAAAAAAACACCTGTCAATCCCATCCCTCCACCCAAGCCCAACTTCCTAGATGATCTTGCAAACACTCTTAGAAAGAAACAACTGGCACAAAACGCTGGGGATGGAGCAACAGGACCATCAGTGTTGACGCTGTCACCTCCACGACCCATTCCTCCAAAGCCTGGCTTCCCACCTCCGAGTTTTCATGGTACAGGTTAATCCCTGATATATATGTCCATTAATTAACAGCAAGTTGGCAAACTAATCGCTGATTGCAATTTTAAGAGTTAGCGTACACAACCTAACCTCATAGAAACTAACATCAAATCTAATTTTGAGTCTCACCCCCATTACGTGAGATTGAGAACTGTTGGTGCAGGATTACTTCAGTGCACAAAATTGTGTAAGTAATTAACCGTTTTCAATGTTGAAACTAGTAAATTGCCCAATTTCCCCAATCAATTGGAACATTTCTCTGTTGCACCATCATGATATTTTTGTTTGTTAATACAAAGTATTATTTGAATATGAAAAGGGATGCTCATATTTAATTGAAAACTCCAGTCACTTACTTAAAAAAAACAATTTTTTATCATTTCGTATGCAGACTCATTCTTGGAAGATATATGCTCACTGCAATGCTGAAAACACTTTTAAAATTGCACATCATCCTCGACATTGTATTTAAATAATGAAAATGTTGGTAATGAAAACAGAGATCAGAGTTTCTTTGTTGTAAAGAATATCATTAAAATACTTCTTGCTTGAATTTCAAGAAATGTAGCATAAAATTTACTTAGAAATTAAGTGTTACAGCACAACACACAATGTCAGTGCATTTTCATCACCAACTATGACAAATTCTTACATGCGCATCTGTTTATCTCTCATAATACCTAATCTTCTAACGTCCATATTATCTCAGATAAAAATGGTATTCGCACATTTGTGATTGAAATTATCCTGCCATAACACACTTATAAACACAGTATGTTCTGATTTCCCAAGTTGTATCATGTCATTATAGATCCATCCATCCAATCTGGTTAATCCCCTCCAACATATTTGTAAATTATGTGTCTTACACACATCACTTAATGTCATGATGTGGAAATATGACTTGCAGGTGGCCACAATGTCAGTGGCATGCAATGAAGCCACTTCAGATAAGTAGTGAAATCTGGTAAAAACAAGATAACATCCTCTCTAGATAATGAGATTCCCCATCACCTGGAAAAAAAACAAATGCAGTTCAAAATTGAGTAACACATAATCCTAAAATGAAATACCAATAGCCTCATGCGACACTTTTGCATGAGGCACGAATCGATTCACTCGGCTACAACATTTGATGAATTGTCACATATGCCAGGGGAACTAAATTCGTTTGACTTTTTAAACTTTGTGTTGTCCAGTCTGTTAAGTTTGTTTTGCTCCCTTAGTCTAAATGGAAAATTAGCTCATCACGTGTGGATAAATTACCTGAATCATAAATAATCATTTATTACATGCATGATTCAATATTTAATGTATCATGATTTTTACTGTAATCTATGAATTGATGTGTCATTAAATGCCACATTTTCCCCATGTAAACGTGTGTTTATTGAATGTGGACAAGCCTCACGTATTTTCGTTAAAGATTTCCAGTGCGTGTACAATGCTACGGCAATGCAGTGGACTTTTAATCACTTCGTTGGGAATGTTATAAAACACACCTGACTGCACAACCCTGCTATGCAGCCTGCCATTTTTTGATGAATGGACCACATAACCTGGGTAAAAAGAAAACAGGTGACCTAGTTAAATGAAAGCCTTTTCACTGTGACATTACAGTACATGCTCTTTGAATAAAATGTTTTATTAAACATGGAACATTAATGTTGCATGACAATGTATTAGAAAGAAAAACAAGTTTTTAAAGTACCACACACACTGGACGAAGGTGAGTGTGACAGAAAAAAACTGTTTCTGCCAATATTAAACTTTGACGTTGATTTTCCTATAATATTTCGCAAAGTGTGATTTCTTTCAAGCTAATGCATTGTGGTACACCGATCTACATTCGAGCAATTCAAAATATAGCAGTTGCTCAACATAGATGTTTGCACACTACTTCATGACTGGGTGCAGCAAGGCACTGGGTTAACAATCATCGTTTTGTTATGCTCTTTCGTGTTTTTATTGATTTACTCTGCAGTGAAAAAGAAGTACTCATAATAATGGTTATACTGGTAGGAACCTCCTGGTTACACCAGCCCACAGGGGATTATTGTGTCTGTCCCTCGTGCATCCAAAAATGGGAGGGGTGGGGCTGGGTGGAGAGGGGAGGGTGGGGAGGGGCTGGGTGGGGAGGGTGGGCCTGGTTGGGGGGTGGGAAGGGTGGGGCTGGGTGGGAAGGGGCTGGTCACCCCGTGGTGCCCTTAAACGTTTAACCTACTCACGCCGGCTTGTGCCCGCCCTCACAGTCGGCCATATTTGCGGAATACACCACGCCGCCGTTGACCCTGGCCATTGACCGAGCAACCCAACGTTCCTACCAGCTCGCTCCGCAGGAATGTGTGATAGCATATATGTGTCATTAACCCACCAACACCCGACACAGCCAATTAGTAAGGTTTGTCACGTGAACAAAATGTGTCAATTAGAAAATTATTTCAGCAAATCGAATTGATGCCGAGTAAACCCACACATAACATTTACAATTGTGTATGACGTTTTGCTGGTACATCAGGCGATTTGCCATAATTATAATCATCAGCAAAACTAATTGGCTGTGTCGGGTGGTGATGGGTTAACAACTATTTATATTTACACAATCTAACCCAAAAACCTTTATTATGAATCATATTGGTCGCCAAAACCTACGTGTTACATTAAAAAAAACAAGTACATTGTAATTTAAACGTTATTGCATTGGATAGGGAAAACGGAAGGGAAAATTCGAAAAGGAAGATAGCAGATACGTTTGTGGAACAAAGTGAGCAGTTGGGATGGGAATCTCCACGAGAGACGTTGAAGCTCACGCATCTATCATGGGTATCAACCCTCAGTTATGAGGATGACAATAGACGTATAGGTGCTTTCTAGACATAATTAGAAAATGCACCATAGTAATTGTACTATATGATCTGAAAGAGCATAACTAATTTTTTTTTACAGAATATGGACAAAAATCATCCACAAAAGTGTTGTACTTCAAATTCACATCCGATGGTAAATACATGGTCAAAACAGCAATGTCAAAATAGGCAAGAATTTAACAGAGACAAAAATTGTCAAAATAGTGGTTAGCTACCCACATGCCAAATTTCAAGTTTGTCGCATGTCGGTAAGTATGATAAACATTTCGAAGACACACATATTGACAAATATCCCTTTTATATATAGATAACTACCGTATTTTCCCGCATACGCATATAACCCGCAGACGCATATACCCCGCAAAAATAGCGTTTTGTTGTAAAACAAATTTCAGATAGCCCAAACCTCCATATACCTTGCATGTATTCATATCTTTAACGTCGTTACCACAGCTTCATTCCATCATATTAATACAAAGTTTACATTTGTAATACATTCCACTATCAATTATTAACATTAAAATCATAACATGCACAAAGACAACAAACTAACCGGAAACGAGTGAACTTAATAAAGTAAATAAGTAACAAAAGTAAATATCCAACAAATAACCTATAACTGGTAGATAAGTAAATAAGCGTACTGTTAGGGTTACCAGCATTCGACCTCATCATATTACAGCTACTGGACCGGTAGTTACCTCTGTACAGTTTTAGCACTGGTAGATTGCGCACTGCGCAGACAATAGCGGCACTACGGTAACGCCATTGCCTCCTGGCAACAAAGCCATTGGAAGTTTGTAACAAAGCTCATGGTCGTGACTGTATCGTGCTCAGCCAATAGCAGCGGCCTAAGGGACTCAACCATTATGATTCGAGTCTGGTAGACGCTTGTTAAAGCCCTTCCCATTGTGCAATCCATAGCCTCAGCTAAAACTTTCGCACCCCCTTACAGCCACTAAAAGTATTACGGTAAACAAAGTGCGCCCACTTCAAACATTGTCGTTTCATTGTACAAACAATTCGAATCATTTAAAACGTGATAACATGTGCAATTTTAGGGTGAGTGGTTTATTCAACAATGCTTTAGTCAAGGGTAAGTGTTGCATAGTGGATAGTCCTACCATGAAACAATTTAACGAGTTATGACATGTCACGTGTGTAAAATATTTTTTGGATAGCCCGCACCTCCATATACCCTGCAAGGTCTTGTTTGTTTGTAAAAAGTGGTATACCCCGCGGGTTATATGCGGTAAAATACGGTACTGGCACATGGTCAGAGCATGTATGCCTCTGAACCATTGGACTGAATATTTATGCACAAGGATAAAAGGAGCAGACACAACAAACACGATCTGACTATAACATGTTCACGCTAAACAACACACTCTCAAATATGAACAATAACATTTAAATAAAACACGTAACTATGTATATGTGTTTATGTATATAACGTATACAATACAATTACTATACTACAATGAATAAAATATGTATTCATAACCTCATGAGCTGCATTGACGTCAGATTGCTGAACGAATTCATTATGAGGTCGCACTCATTACACACAAAGTGCTTGCCACAAATAAAGCATAATTCCTTGCTGATCTAGTCAAGGAGTAAAATCCATCACGCGAACTCCGATCATCCCCGCAGTGACTTTTGGCTAGCCGTCGAACAAAGACGGTCACTGCATCGTGCGTTTTCAGGTGCGCTTAAATTCGGAATTCTCTTGCTTCAAATATAAGCAAACCACTGGAGCTATGCAATTTTTAATCTAGACTGAAAACTTATTTATTTTGTGTTTAGTTTATTGTGCTTCGCCAAATTTTCGATTGTCATGGTTGTCTGCATATGGTGCGAAATAAGTTAAACATACATACACATACTGTAGATACATGAGAGGTGATCATTAGCACCCATGAGCTATCCAATGCTGGATAAAAGCTTCCCTAAGCTGCTGCCATTCCTCACGGTCACATTATGCAAACGATAAACGTCACTCCCGCACACGAGATAATCTCATCGCTCCATCTCCTATCAGGTACATTCCCTCCTTTCGCTGCAACTCATTAATTTCTACAAACGGCCACCGTTGGTAGAATAGAATACGAGACCACTCAGACAAAATGTAATTTGTTTTGAACAGTTGAAGATGAGAGACCTGCATTAAAAAAATGGAATAAAGTAGGAACGGAAATGAGTGCAAGGCCCGTGGTATCGAATACAAAAACGCACAACCGTAGTTCATTTCCATGGGCGCACATTTGATGTCAACAAAACCTTGAGGAGAGTGGCACCAACACTGCTCCCAGTGTGCCTGGGAAAGTTGTTTTTTAAACAATTTTCAATCATCATCCTCAAGTTTCAACATGCTGGCATGCTCTGTAAATGACCCAACATCATTTGTAAGTGGGCTTAGGATAAAAAGTACGAAAATGTGAACTTACTTTGTTAACCCAATGAAAAGAAGAGCTAAGAAGAGCTCCGCCTCTCCCGATGACATCCCCTACCTTTCCTTGTGACGTCATCCTCCTACTGTATCCTAAAATCTAGCGAGTATGTGTGGAGTGCTGAACTTCACGCGACAGCTTCTTGCTTTTCCGTCGTCACTTTATTTCACTAACAACATCGTTCCGCTCGCTCACCGCGTTCCGCCGGCCTCACTCGCTCCGCTCTCCGTCTACGTCGCCTCTCCTCTCTGCTTCTCTTTCACAGTTCAGCCGCTCTTCCGCGGCTTCTCCGCCACACTCGAGCCGCTTTCTATCGGCTTCTCCGTCACACTCCAGCCACTTTCTATCGGCTTCTCCGTCACACTCCAGCCACTTTCTATCGGCTTCTCCGTCACACTCCAGCCACTTTCTATCGGCTTCTCCGTCACACTCCAGCCACTTTCTATCGGCTTCTCCGTCACACTCCAGCTGCTTCTGTCGGCTTCTCCGTCACACTCCAGCGCTACGTTATGCGTCCCTCACTTCACTGCTACCCTATACTTTCTCTCGCTCCACTGCTACCTTATACTTCTCTCGCTCCACTGCTACCCTATACTTTCCTCGCTCCACTGCTTCGGCTCCGACCGTCTTCATCCACTCCCAGGCCCGAACCCCCCTCAGCTCCCAACACCCCTGTATTTATGCCCGACCCAATTAACTCCCAATTAATTAGTTGGCGACCCCCTCGCCGCCCCTCGCCCCTAGCCCCCGCCGCCACCTGTCTCTTTTACCAGACTCCGCGGTGCCAGTCCACGACAACAACAACCACCAACCAATCATGGTCCCGTGTTCTTAATTGCCCCAACCCGTCTCTGGCCTACCCCTTCGAGCCTTGGCAACAACGCTCGTCCTCATATGTCCCCACTGTACTCTACGCGCACATGCTCACAATCTCCCGTGCGTGGCGCGTGCTTAAACCACTACATGTGTTTACCCTCAGATCACGTAAGTATCTGCACTACACATTTATAAAGCGTTAATTGAATGGGCAATAGATATGTATTGACATCAATGG